GGTTGTATGCCTCGTGATTTGTGCACTTGTATTCTAGTTTCTGCTTTTCTATCCTTGCTTTATATCTTTGGAAAGGTTCAGTATAGTGTGACGAGCAAGACACTTGCTCGTAGTGTGCACCGAGGAAGTTCGCCTGATCTTCCAAGCTGTCACCCTGTGTGTTTACGAGTGGGAGTGAGTGTACTTAATTTCCTGCTACCCTACGAACCATGTTCCAGACTTTAGCCTCAGGTGTATATGAATTTATCCCTGATAAAAACTTGTGCCAGCTTTCTCTTCTGGCCTGCCGACGCGTTCTCCTGCCTCAAGATTTTATTTTCTAAAAGCTCTCAAGGTTTTCCGCCGTCGGCGAGTTCCGCAGCAACCTCCATGCCCTGTTCTGTTCCTTTCGCGCATTCTGACACTCAGTGTTCCACCACGGGACGTGTCGTTTCCCGGGCAGTCCAGATGTTTGTGGAATGCACTTGGCTGCTGCATCAGTAAGAAAAGCCGTGAAGTACTGCACAGCTTCATCTATGCCTAATCCGCATATGTCAGTCCAACTTAAGTGAGTAATCTTTTGAAATTGTTCCCAGTCAACTTTGTTTACCAGCCATTTGGGAACATGTGGAGGATATTCATATATTATTGGTGTACTCAAAACTAAAGGAAAATGGTCACTTCCATATGGATTATTTATGACTTTCCACTGAAGTAATGGTACAAGTGAAGGAGATGCGATACTGAGGTCTATGGAAGAGTAAGTTTTGTTGGCAAGGTTATAGTAAGTTGCCTTTTTCCGATTTAACAGACAAGCACCTGATGAAATGAGGAATTGTTCAATGAGACGACCTCGTGCATCACAGCGAGAGTCATTCCACAGACCATTATGTGCGTTCAGGTCCCCAAGGACCAGATAAGGTTCAGGTAGTTCGTCTATTAAAGACTGGAATTGAAGTTTTTCAAGACGGTGGTGCGGAGGTATGTACAAAGAGCAGACAGTGACAAATCTGTTTAGAATAACTACTCAGACAGCCACCGCCTCGAGGGAAGTTTGGAGGGGTAATTGTGTGCATGCTATACCTTGACTAACTATAACCGCTACACTACCAGATGGTGGCATGGCATCATCTCTATCCTTTCGGAAGATTACGTAGTTACGTAAAAAGTTTGTGTTTGTTCGTTTTAAGTGTGTCTTTTGTACACACAGCACTCTTGGATTGTGTTCATGGAGGAGTTCTTGTAAGTCATCGAGGTTTCGAAGAAGGCCTCGGATGTTCCACTGTAATATTTCTGTCTGCATATTTAAACAAGAGAGATGCTGCTGTGTGTACAAAGAATATCCTGTGTTGAAGTGAGCTCGTTAATTCAGGTGGCAGGACGGTCGACCGGCCCCGTTATTGGTTTTTTATTTTTCTTGGCGCGCTCCAAGGAGCCGCGCCGCACTTGTACCGTTGTATCCATTGCCTCCTCAGAGGCACTGGGTGCCCGCACATGCGAGCTGGTGGTTCGGATTTTAGGCCTTGCCTGGTGAGGGGAGGCCTTGAGACCAGAGGACCCTGAAGTCTCCGGCCTCAATTCACTAGGAGGCGGAGTAGACTGAACTACTGTCGCCTTGGGGGCAGGCACCACAGCCGACGGCTCGCTCTGCGCTGGCCGAAGGAGTGGCGAGGGCTGGTGCGGCGTTGCCCCCTGACGCGCCGCATCAGCATATGTAGCGCCGTAAAATGGCGACACTCTTCGTCTTGCTTCCTTGAATGTGATATTTTCTTCAATTTTCAATGTGATGGTTTCTTTTTCTTTTTTCCAAAATGAGCAAGACCGTGAGTATGCGGCATGATTTCCGCCACAGTTCACACAGTGTGATGGTTCTTCGCAATTGTCAGAATTGTGGCCTGACACTCCACATTGTGCACAAGTTTGGTGACCACGACAGCTTTGTGAGCCGTGGCCATACTTCTGGCATTTAAAACAACGACGTGGGTTAGGTATGTATGGTCTGATCGACGTCTTCGTGTACCCTGTTTGAATACTTTCTGGCAGATTACTGGAAGCGAACGTGAGTATTAGGTGTTTCGTTGGTGTTACCTTGTTGTCTCTTCTAATGATGATCCTTTGTACACTAGTCACATTCTGACTCTTCCACCCCTCCAGAAGTTCCTCTTCGGTCAAGCCGAGCAAATAAGCATCAGATACTACTCCACGGGTTGTGTTCATAGATCTGTGTGGTGTTACAGTGATGGGAGTGTCACCAAAAGTTGAAAGATTCTGTAGCTTTTCAAACTGTTCTTTTTCTCGAACTTCAACGCTGGCCATTTTGGTAACTTTGTACCCGGCTCCAAGAGTTTCTGTGAGACATCTGGCAACTACAAAGGGGGATACAGTTCTGGCTTGCTTGCTGCTTATCTCACTATGTATAACATGAAAATGGGGGAAGTTTTCACTTGATCGGTTGAAAAAGCCTAAGTCTTCGGTGCAAACGCGCTTTAAGGCGGTACGATCACTTAATAAGGGAAACGCTCTATGCATGCCAGTTTAATTTTCTTCAGAAGCGTTGGCGGCCACCCACCACGGAGCCCAACAAAGGGACGCTACAAGTTTGCGGATGCTAAAACCTGCAGACGCCAGCCCTACAACGCTACTATAACCCAATGCGCCTAGACCAAGGTAGGCTATTTGCACAGGGTTAACCCTAGCCGCCAGGAAGTTTGGAAGTAGACAGAAGAGAGTAGAAGACAGGACAGATAAATAGTGAGAGATAAAGACGAAGATGTAGGGAGAGAGAGATGGGAAAAGGCGACTGCCGACACGGGCTGGTGTTCCGCAACGTGTGAGGTGGAAGAGATGCGGTTGACGAATGTGTTGTGCAGGATTGCCGGTCTGGACTATCCACGCACCTTTATACGTACGAGCCGTTTAACATTTTCAACGCTGATGAGACAGCGCTGTTCTATAAGGCTCTGCCTGACAAGACTATTGCGTTTAAGGGGGACTCCACCGACGCACAAGAGCGCGTGACAGTTCTTCTGGCTGCTAACATGACCGGCACAGAGCGGCTGCCGCTGGTGGTGATCGGGAAGGCTGCGAAGCCAAGATGTTTTAAGAATACTAAGCAGCTGCCTGTCGACTACCGGTTCAATGGAAAGACTTGGATGACTTCCGAACTCTTTCAAGCCTGGCTGCATCAGCTCGACCGCCGCTTCGTGGCCAAGGCGCGAAAGGTGTTGTTCGTGCTAGACAACTGCAGTGTGCACACGAAGGTGTCCGGGCTCGAGAACATTAAACTGTTATTCCTGCCTCCGAACAAAACGACTTCCCTGCAGTCAATAGACTAGGGAATCATACAGTTTGTGAAAAGCCGCCATCGACGGCAGGTACTCGAGCGGATGTTGCTCTGCGTGGAGTCAGGCAAGCAGTACGAAGTAAGCCTGCTAAGCGCAATCCACATGCTGACATACGTGTGCAACAACACACCGCCTGCAGTAGTTGCAAACTGCTTTAGGCATAGCGGCTTCGTGCAAGACGCTGGTGATCTGGGGGTGGTGGCCGATGAGAAAACCAGTGAAGAGCAAGACAGCCACTATGTGAGCATCATGCCAGCTGATGTGCCCCTGGGCGATTACTTCGCAATTGACAGCGATGCTGCCGCGGCCGGCACAGTGACCGACAGCGATATCGTCGCCGAAGTCTTGGACAGCGAAGGGGAATCTGCTGACGAGGACGTAAGTGATGCTGACGAGTGTTCATGCCACACTATGATGGAGGCTGCGCATGCGTTGGCCGTTTTGGAGGACATATGCATGCTTTCCTCGGACAGTGTGCGCGGACTAAGCCACCTGCAGGAACTTCACAAAATTGTGACTTCATCGCACATTGTGTCCATGAAACACACCGCGATCACAGACTTTTTTAAGAAATAAAAGTTTGATGGTGTACGAGACATTTTCCAAGTGTTTTGTTCGTACTCACGATAATTCGTATCCTCGGTTAATTTGGACATTTTCTCCGGTCTCGTGAAGTCCGAATTAACAGGTTTTTACTGTATGACAACACATTTTTGATCACTAGTCAGGTGAAGGAGACAGCAGTTCGTAAGCACAAAGTGCACTGAGCAAAGAGTGTCAGTTGACAAATCCTTGCCGTAAAACTATGCCTGGTTGTTCAGAGGTATCAAAATTAGTTGATTGTGTAAAGCCAGTTGTGCATGAACAGCCATTGTACTCCGAGTGGCAGTACAAAGGCATCTAGATAGGACAGCCGTCTTCCTTAAAAGATATGCTGAAATACGCAGCACTTTACATCAATTTGAAGGGCCCTCTTCTTCAAGCAAACAAGTGTACGACATAGATCAGACGATGACAATTATATCTGCAACATTTGGCATACTGCACCAATATACACAATGATAAGCAGCTGAATTCAAATAAATGCCTACGTGCCAATGTAAATATTTGTGCTTCAGAAAACTGTATTGCGGACAGCTGCCTTTCCATTGAATAGGCTGCTTTCAGCACACAAACAGCTAACACCAATCTGAATAACTAAACATTTTCACGGAACACAAAAGATGTAAAACTGCCTCAAGAATCACACCTTACAGAACGAGAAAACATAACTTAAAAAAAATGAAAGTGAGGACAATGACAAACACTGCATGGCTCTGCTCCTTTGAGGAAGAAGCCAAAAGAGGAATGTCGCTTTCGAACTATAGTCAAAGCAATAGAACTGGGGCTCACATATGACCTCCTTTAACAAATCATTTGCTTTGATCTCCAGTTTTGCTACACCATTATGAATATTCTTGTGGCAGACTGGAAGCATTTCATCAAAAATTTTACATTAAACATGGAAAAGTTTGTTAAACATTTCTCTTTACTGTTATCTTCAGCCAAGCAATGTCGGACAAAAATGACCCAAAAAACGAGTGAAGAGTTAGAAAATAGTCATACATCAAAAAATGCAAATCAACCAAACGGTATTTTATGACAGACAAAGCATTGGGTGTCGTTCCCCTTCATTACCTGGTCCTCCTTGCCATAGACACGATCAGTGGCCTCATGAGCAAGTTCTTTCATCTTGTCCAAAGGTAACTGGAGTTCGTTCTCAATTCGGGATGAAACGGCACGCTGCAGGGCACATGCTGCTTGCACCACCTGGCCCAAGCTCCGCACCTCAGCCTCCAGCTGCTCTTTAGCCTCTGCTCCCAATGTGATGAGGCTTTCATCGTGAGGCATCCGCCGGCGAACCTTGCGTACCGCTGCAACCAACCCACCCACCATACATATGGTCATTGAATGGGCTGAACGTCACAACTAGAACTAAAGAGACTGTCATGCAGTAGACATTCCTCCAAATCACACTAGAATGCTCTTCGAGATTCCTAGAGTGATAAAGTACCGATGTCACTTGATGTGAAAAAATATTCTAGGAGATTTACATAATTTGCCATCTTGTTTGCAAATTCTAGTCAGCCATATATAATACTTCAATGAACATATCATGAGTAAGAACTGAAATTATGGAGATATAAATGTTGACGGTATGAAAGAAGTCAACCATAATTCAGTTGAGTACACCAATGTTTTTGCTTGCACTGAACTGCTAGTTACGTTGCTAATCAGGTGTGTAATAGGAGACTCAAATGTACTTAATGATAATATCTTATTTAAATACCTTATCATTAGGTGACTGTACGGCACAAAAAACTTTTACTTTAAAGATCCCTATACAGTAACATCACATTAATTTGTATATCACGGGACCAAAAAAAAAAAAAATGTCCAAATTAAATTGATACAGAATTATCAAAGTATCAAGCAAAAATTGAACAAATTTCAATTACATCAATACATTTTGATTTTTTTGGTGAACACATGAATCCAGAGTTTATTTAGCATAAGAGCAGAGCAACACTTGCAATTTTTATAATCCTGCCAGTTTGTTCTCAATGTGATCGCGGTGCCCGTCTTCAGTGTTTAATTAGGCCGAAATTTGTTCTGCACTCAGTTGTCCTGAGCAAATTTTATTGAGATCTACTGATCTCTAAAAATGGCCCCAGTTGGCCTTTAAGGCATATTTCCAAAGATTAACAAACTTCAATTTCTATAACCTGCTGCCACCGCAACAAATTATATCCATTATAACTGTTCCAGGCGAATGTACAACCATGAAAATATTGCTAGCTATGGAGCAAAGAATAAGAACTAAGAATAAAATATAAATTTAAGCAAAAGATACAGGTTATAACAAAACATTATAATCTGTGTTTAAGGGGGGACGCGGCCCTTGAAAACCGAAAAATCGCGAAAAAGTCGGTTTTTAAAAAACCACAGTTTTGGGTTGTATGTCTCATAAACTACCTATTCTGTAATTATCAGCACCTAATTCAACCGCAAAGTGCAAAAAAAAAAAATACTATTTTGGAGGCTGCCGCGGCGTCCAAAACAGGCGCGAATCCCGAAATCAAACCAAACTTCGCACGCGCGCCATTCCCGGACCATGCGGTCGTCCCGCGTCATCTTGGTGTTGTTTTGACCGTGAATTCTTTCTCTCTCGTTCGCCACCTTGCCAAATGGCATCGGCAGCACAGTTGAGACGCTATTGGCGTTTTCCCGCGGTGCGATGCGGAGCGCTGATTGGCTAGAGCAGCGCATTCATATCTCGCGGGAGAAAGCGTGCCCGCCATTGGCTGCTGTGCAGCAGCGGGGGCGGTCGCTCCTCTCGATGGCGCGTCCAGCGTGCTCGCTTCGTTGTTGCTCTCTGCTCCGTCCGCCTCGACAGACGTCTGCTTACGAGCCACTCTTCGCCTTGTGCTATCTTTTCGATCATTTTCTCTCGTTTTTTTTTTCTTTTTGCACTAGTTCTGTGCCTTTCGTCTTTGTTGTTGCGGGCGATGCCGGCAACGAAGCCGAAGTCAGTGCGGAAGTTTGGTGCGCGGAGGCGCGCTATGCGGCTTGTACGATCATCGAAATTCCGCTATTCTGCTGCGGGTGCCGACTGCGTAGACACTTGCAGCGACAGAACTGTGTTGTCGGCTGTCGCCAGTCGAGAATCCGACACATCGAGTGTGGCTGGAGCCGCAAATGCACCGAGTGTTTCCGAGATCGCCGGGCTCGACACGTGCTCCGAATCGATGCCATCCAGTGTGACACCGAGTGCTTCTGATATCGCCGGACCCAGCACTTCGTCTGAATCGGTGCCGCCATCGAGCGTGAGTGGACCGTCGCTTCATCTGCGGACGCGTTTCCTAACGAAGGAAGAAATCGATGCGAATGCGAAACGTCGTGACGCCGTTCGCGCTGAACTCGAGTCTACGCCGGCGACGCAGAAGAAATTTCAACTGATGCAGCCGGCTCTTGCACCTGCAGTGACAAGTGAGGGAGAACATTTTTCGCTCGTTCAAATGAACATCTTTAACATCGTGCTCAGCCGCACAGTGTGCAAAGAATGTTTGAAAGGTGCTATGACTGTCCGAGAGAGCACCAAGCTTGGACTTGCGCCTCTTGTGGCACCGTCGATAAATTATGGACATCACCCCGCAAAAAGGACACGCAGGCCTTCGATGTAAATGCCGCGCCATAATGGCTATAAAGCAAGTAGGCAAGGGGCAAACAGCTCTTAATGACTTTTGGGCTGCCATGAACGTCTCTTACAGAGGTCTTCACCACAAGACGTTTCAAAAGCACTTGAAAGAGACGTTCAGGAAGCCAGAGGCCACCGCTTTGGAGAAGTTTTATGCTGATTCTGCCACAGCAGTGATCAAAACATATAAAGAAATGGACCCCAGCTTCTGCAAGGACATCACCGTAGTGTACGATGGCACATGGCATAAGCGGGGTCACACATCACACATCGGAGTGGGATCGGTAATTGACTTCTTTACAGGTCTCATCTTGGATGCTGTAGTTCTTTCAAACCACTGCCTTGGATGCCAAACAGGGCCCAAACCTGGAGATGCAGCATACGAAAGCTGGCAGAAGCACCACATTTGCCAGAAAAACACAGACGCAAAATCGGGAAGCATGGAAGTGGAGGCAGGCTTGACTCTCTTTGGGCGGTCTGTATCCAAGCATGGCCTGCGGTACACCACTCTTGTGTCCGACGGAGACAGCCGTACCTTCGCTGCCCTCACAGAAGAGAATGTGTACGGGCTAGTGCCAATTGTAAAAGAAGAATGTCTGAACCATGTCCAGAAAAGGATTGGAAGTGCTCTTCGAAACATTGTGCAGAAAAGTGATAAGCCACTGAGTGGGAAGGGGAAGCTGACTAAAGCTCTCATTGAAAAGCTGACAGGATATTATGGTTGGGCCCTGAGAAACAATTCAACTGACCTAACAGCCATGCAGCGTGCAGTGATGGCAACATATCCCCACGTCACATCGACTGACCAGGACCCTCACCATGAACTTTGCCCAGAGGGGGCTCAATCGTGGTGCCGCCATAGAGCTGCAGAGGCAAAGCGTGAGCCACAGCCAAAACATAAACACAGCCTACCGGACTATGTCGCTGCAGCTATGCTGCCCATCTACGAAAGACTGTCACAAAAGTCGCTTCTTCAGTGCTGCCTGGGAGCGAAGACCCAAAATGCATCAGAATCATTCCACTCCATTCTGTGGTCTCTGATGCCGAAGGAACAACACTCATCCTTAATCGCGGTAGAAACAGCACTGCATGAAGCAGTGCTGCGCTACAATGCCGGCTGCTGCAAAGCAACCCAAGTGATATCGGACTCCATTGGACTTCAACCAGGTCATCTGGCCATCCAGCGAGCTCGTGAAAAAGACGCTTTACGCCTAAAAAAGAATTCTAAAAGACACCAAGATAAGATGGAGGCCAGGCAAAAGAAGAAAAGAGTGTGCCAGGACACTTCTAGCTACTGTGCTGGAGCTTTTTGAAGAAAACACGTGTTTTGAACTTTCTCGGCCTGTTTTCTCAGAACAGATTTTTTTGCTAGTTGTGGTGCTGAGGAAAGCAAGAACTCGAAAACCGTTCATCAGATTTGTGTGCCGTTTTTTTTATTCTGTTCCTGAATGACCTTGCAAGGGCGTAACAAGCTCCTTTTTTTGAAAATTGGTGCTGTTAATTTATAATAAACAATTAATTTTTGATGAATCTGGTCATTACTGGTTACATCAAATTCAAAGTTGCGTGAAAATTTGGGGGGGGGGGGATTAAAAAAAAAATGGCTTTGTAGCGCCCTAGGATAGCTATCAAGGAATGACCACAATGAATTTCAGCTTTCTACTATGTCCTGGTTCTCACAACTCTTCCTCAGGCACCCATGTGAAGCACCCAGTTAAACCTCAATAACTCTGGAACTAAGAAACACAGCTTCGTGAAACTTAGCAGTTGTGCTAGTTTTATTGTAGTGAACAACCCCTGAAAGTTTCATCCAGATATCTTAAAAAATAAAAAAGTTCGGTCTCCAGGGTAGCCTCCCCCCTGAAGAAGTTGTATGCAATCAGCGCTGGAGATACTAATATTATCATCTCTTCATTTTTTCAACACTTTCTTCTCTGTTTAAACACTTGAAGTTATAAAACTTGACCTAGTTTGTTGTCATTCTGGTAAGAAACTTTTCAAGAATCGGATGTACAAAGAATATCATTTATGTCGAATACAATTATTATGTGAGGTACCTTCACTCGACTTCCGCTTTACTCGATACATCCAAATGCCTCAAACATTCTCTGTAATAGCCTATACCACGTACAAGGAATACCTCTGCACTCACATTCTCATTGGTTAATCTTAAAATTCTGTCATTTATTATTGAGAGTCTTCATCGTTTCCTAAAAAGTTTTGTTGGACTAGTATTTATATCACATGACGTCCGAATATTTTTTTGTTGTTAAGTCAGCAGTGTGCGCATGTGCCATTTCTTTTTCATTGTTGCTCTGTACAATGAAGATGAAAAAATCACCAGAAACTCTATCATAACATTTCAAGATAATTCTAATAGAAACAGAAAGATGGGCTAGTTTTTAGGGATTTCTCATGAAACAAGATGAGCTTGTGTTTATTTCCTGTTCCCAGCTTACCTTTTTTCATGAATTCTTTCATATTTGAAATATACATTTTTGATACATGTTTTACATACATTGATGATATCACATGGTAACATTATCAATGCAGCAATGCCACAAGTTTTTTAAATATGTGATGTCATTTTGCACTCAAAAGAGGCAGCACATTTTCCGTTTGTAGACGGACACGACGAAATCAAGCACGACTTACAGTTCCACAGTAAACGTACTTAAGGGCATAGTGCCTACAGCCCTATAAGCCCTATACTTCCCATGCCTTCGTGACCATGTTGAACTGTTTCTTCATTACTGAGAGGTATATTGAGATAATGCATATGTCATATTCTTAAAATTTCATACTCTTAACTGGGTTAAACTTATCAAAATGTTTGGCTAACATTACTATTTTGGAGAAAATGTTCCTTCTAATACCAAAATCTTGGCTTTACTCGCCTATATCAGAATTCATAACTTAAAAAAAAAAACAGTTAATTGAATGTTTCCAATTCCAAAACAGCAAATGTGTATATACATATAGATGACAAAAAAGATCAGCTGGTTTTCTTTAAAGACAGAGGAAATTAAGGCACCTATGTAATAAAAAAAATGGGTTTAAGATAATTTGGAAATCAGTTGAAAAGCAAACATTTTCACTACAAACATTGTTGAAGTCATTTATTTAGTAGTTATGAGCTTGGTAATCATTGTTGAAGCCTTTTATTGTTTTGTTATCTTACAGCCTCTTTTATTGACTGCCTAGACTCATTTGGGGCACTTGTGCAGCTCTGCATCATAGATAATAGTGAACTTCCTTCCACAACTTGACTGTATTGAGGCCAGGAATCAATCCTAATGACTTTACATTTTTGGCACATGTGATACTACTATCACTGAACAAAATAACAGCATACACTGTCACAATCCACAGAGTGTGAAGCCCAATAAAAAGGTTTCGACATGCATTCCCACACAAAATGGTTGAATGACTAATCTGCATTTTAGAAAAATGTGCACAGTGTCTTTGGACTACCTCAGCTGAAAAATCAGCTATGGAATAGTTTTCAGACTATTGATGGTAAACATGTACTATACCCAATTCAAGACAAGTGTTTTGGTTTTTACAGCGATATTTTGTTTGAAAAGTGTGGGGGAGCTGACACCCCTCCTGTAAAGTTGTCTGCGCCGCGTGGCGCACGTCTCGCCCCAAGGCTTTATTTCGGTGGTGACCACTGCTGGGCGATAGATGGCGTTGTGTTCGCTTTGAGTACCACTGTTGGTAGAGTGGTAGCGCCGGCGGTGGCCCCTGGCGGAAGGCAGGCCTTGGTGGTGGGCGAGAGTTGAGCGAGCCTCTTCTGCGCGTGGCGGCTGCGGCGAACAGTTGTATGTAGCGTGGGTCCCCGGTGCTCGGCACCACGGGCTTCGCGCCAGGGTCCCACGTGGAAAGTCAGGCGTTGGCGACGCCGCCTTAGGTATGTGTTGGTGTGTTGGGTGTGTTAGTGTGTGTTTATCATGTTATTGTGTGTTTAGTGTGTCACTGCATTACGTTGTTTGTATGGTAGTGTGTTAATTAAAATTGATGTATCATTTGGCGAACGATATCGTCGTCTAAATTAGTTAATAAATGTATGTATGATGTGTGACTTGTACCGACCGCGTCTGCTGTGTCCGTTCACTCCAAGAGCATGGCGTGGCGATGAGCTCGTTCGCCTCGCCGAGACCCCACAAAAGTAACAGTCAGCACAACTGTTTTTAAGCCTGAAGTAAGACTTTCAAAGACAATGATAAATATGAAAAGTGTGCATTAGAAGATGTATTTTCCAAACTGCAAAAAAAGGTCAATAAAAAAATTTGCCTCCCCCTGTACCCTAAAGGCATACAACAAATTGCTGTAACTCAACTTGCACTTATCAGAATCAAGAAATTTGTGTGGCAATTGATTTTGGAGGCAATAACCCAATAGTTAGGTCACTGGATGACTACTTAGAGAAAGTGTTGCATGGCCCCTTGTTATGCATGGCCAGCTCACATACACACAACATGAATGCTACCAAAGACTGAACTGGAGAAGGCAACAGTTACAAGGTAATCTCCAACTAGCTCTCTTCAACTTTACGTCAGTCTTCTTTGCTGGTAAATATGTGTAACCCTATTAAAAGTTTTTATTTATCCATATAATGTAAAAAAAATAATACATTGTCTCTTTGTATATACTCATTTACAGCACCACAATGTAATCTAAGGTTGGGCTACAATGTCGTCTGCTATCTCCACGGCAGACCCACTGCTTTACAACATTTGCTTGTTCAAGTAAAAAATTTATTGAATGCTGGATAAGGTTGTCATTACTTGCTTTGATACCCTTCCGCAATGAGTACACTAGGTGTATTTTTCAGAAGACCTTAAATGGGGTAAATAACACTACCTCCAGCATAGTGTACATGTTTCTCTCATTCAAAACGCCTGAAGTCTGATAACTGTAGACTAGCGCAAACACTCTACTCAAAGAAGTCAAGAAAAGACAAATACTATACGACACTACTGGTGCTACACATACACAAAGACAAATACAGAAGAATATACATTAAAAGCATGTTAATTTAGGTTTCACAGGACAGAAAAAAATGTCCACATTAACCAAATGCAGATGTATAGATACGATCATGAAAACAGTCAATTACCTGCTACATCAATACAATTTGATTTTCTTTATATAAATGTAAACTATAAACTTTAATTTGTAAGAGTAGAGTAAAACAGTGATTTTCATAATACTCCAACTTCGTTTTACAATGTGACCATGGATCAAGACTCCTATGTTTAATTAGCCAAAAACATGATCTGCATTTCCCCTACATTGTCGGCACCACCATGTGCACATGACAATAATATTTTTGCACGTAAAATGAACCGCGACATATTGTTTGTCCATCGTGATGTAGCGAATTTCAGGCCAGCATGCGGACCATCGCTGGAAGGTCTTCACCTTCAAACAGCTTCCACCTTGTTTGAGTTTTGCGACACAGCATGCACATTGCGTGAAGTTGAAACACAGTTATTGAGTGCCAGGGCTACATGTGAACAAAACCGTGGTCACTAATTGATACGGATAGCGGCGCAGACTGCACCAGCCTGCTTCGATTATCCATGAAGGCCATTTTTGCTAATTCAAATCACACATTTGCTTCACTTTGCGCTCGCCATTGGCTTGGCACATTTCGGGGATCGTCTGAATCAACCGGGTTGCATCCAATATGCACGAATTAAAGAGAGTTTGATGCCATTAAACAATGCATAAGCCGGCTGGACCCAGAACACATATCCGAATTATCAGGTTTTCCGAATTAATGAGTGTCACATTAACAAGTTTTTACTGTATACAGGTATATATACTACACTGTTGGCAATTGCCAGCCCTAGCTAAAGAATATTTTCCGGCATGACTGGCTTTTCAATGGCACTGAAAAAAAAAAAAAAAAAAAAAAACCTAGCTTAGGCTTAAGTAAATAAGGTAATCATGAGTAATTTACCACATCTCAATGTTATTAGATGAAAAAAAAAAGACGAAGAAAAAACCCGCAAGTGCTCCCATACCTTGCAGCAAATCAGAGACAGAGGCAAGTGCAGCATCAAGCAAGGCAGCCAGGTCACCACCCTGTTCACCAAGAACATGGCGCACAAAGCCCAAGGCACACTTCACAGCTTCGCAGGCTAGCGCCAGGCATCGCAAGTTTTGGGTGAGCCAGTGCCTTTCATCCTGCCGCTCATTGGAGAGGTGTACAGCATACAAACTTTGGAAATAGGTCAGTGCCCGCTCCAGGTTCTTTAGGGGCACATTTTCATCCAGCTGCAAAAGGACAAGAGTGTGTTAGGCATAAAAAGGAGCACTGTATGATATGAAGGAGTGGTGTTACCAGCTTTAAGGAGACGTATCACTTCCAAACATGATTCGCATATTATATTTTGAACATCTTCTGAGGTGCTGGCTTCTATGAGTCTATGGTGGAAGGCATAAACCAGTGCAAAAACAGAGATGCAGGAAGAGAAATGAATAGCACAGATCTCGTATCATTCGTTTCTCTTCTGGCATACCATTGTTCGTGCTGTTTTACACCCTTTACATTGAACCAAATCCAACCGGCCCAATTCACATCCTAAATTCCTTTAATTGAGCATCACGGATTGCATTATACAGCAGAAGATTTACATGTCTTTCTTGTAGACTATAATCAAATGGGAAGAGCGGAAGCGAGAGCACTACTTATAAGCTTGATTTTCATCAATAGATATTAAAAACGTACACAATAATAAATACTTGTATAAGTTCTCTTGATCTACATGGACAAATTAACTTTTTTGAAAGCACAATTTCTTAAAACATTAGGCAAGAAACAATGAAATTTTTCATGTGGAGAAAATAGCCTAGAACTGATAAGTGGTATGTATTGCCTGAATCTAATTGGAACTTAACATTAAGTGCACACTTAGCACTGAGTGCATAAAAACAGATATGCCCAAATGAAAATGAATGAATAAGACTACAGCTATGTGAACAGCAAGTTTTTTGGCCAAATCAAACATCAGAAGCAAAGGAACTCGCATGCAAAATACACCTTTATAATAAACATGCTTCTTCTTTATTTGTATGAGATCAAAACCATTTTCAACTTGGCTATAAAGGCTTGTTCCCACCAGTGAATTATAGTTTCCTGTACGTACACTACAGGGACCTCTGGCACTAGTGTCTATGACGCTTCAGCGAGCAAGGGAATGATGGGTAGTACACAGATTTGTTTGACGAATCTCTTCACAAATCTTCCTTCTTTTTTTGGCTCCATTTGGCTCCGACTGGCCTTAATCCACTTTGCTACCAGATGAAGTTCAGCAAAGGTTCAGTAGACACACTTTATCACTTTGACTTTTTTAGGCTCGCCAATTAAATTTGGCTAGCAAAGATCACAAGGGTCCGTCCTTTCATTCGAAACAAAACCGAAACACAATAATACACAACTGCACTAGAGCGTTTGATGACCACAAGCATGAAGACTAGGCGAATCTATGTATTACTCATCATGGCAGAATGATGGCAGCGGAAGAGTTTCTTCTAGTTAATTTTAGGAAACTATGCTGTGAATAAATGTGGTTGTGCGACCAAGTTAGTCGGAAAACAGTCACAAATAGCCATTTCTGTTGCAAATTAACATGTTGACTCAGTATTCACTGCTCAATTTTTCAGCCATTGACTGCATTTGCAAACCTTTGATCCAATCAGATGCACAGTAACAGTACACCAGCTCATTTTGCGGGGGAACAGGAATGCGAGTAGATATGAATCCTGTGGGTCAACGGGTATAAGTTGCATGCAAGTGTGAACATTGATTGCGTCGAATTGTTTCTCTGTTGCCAGCTGTAAATGGTTGCGCAGTTAGTGCCAGAAGCAAGAATCAATAGCCCTTAAGGACCCTTTATAGTCTGATGTTATGCTAGCAAACGTGCAATGCTCTACAGCACGACACAAGGCGCGACAACGCGTTTGATATCAGTTGTCCCACCTCGGCTGCTGCTGGCATGAGATGCAACATGCTGCATTCCGCGCTAGTGACGTTACCCAAACTCCATAATGTCTGCATCTCTTCGTGACAAAAGGATACCAGGCATGCTCAAATGGGTATGCGTCGAGGTGACATATCGAGGCTCCCAAGTATAAAGTGTTTGGTTTTCGCGGCGGCATAACACTATGAACCTGGCACTGCGAACTTCTGCCGCTGCTGGTCGATGCCATATCGTCTATAAAGGGCCCTTTCACCATATAACTCAGTGACTTCTCTCTACTTTTTGTTTAGGTGAGCTCTACAGCATAGCAAGGTATGAATATCAAGACTTCTAGCTTGCTGCTTGGTTTGCATTAGTCAGTCAAACATGGCCCACCTAATTTCAAGTTTGAGCACTGGAGCCGTAGCCTCATTAAATTTTTGTGCTAAGAAGGAAGTTCCACCAAATAAATTCACAGTAGAATGGTGAATGTGTACGGCAGTGAATGTCCTTCATTTCACAAAAGTGCTATCGCGAACTGGGGACAAAAATAGAGCAGACGAAAAGTGCTTCTCCTTACCTGGTCAGTCTTATTACTGTACTTACTCGCATAATTTGTGAACTTTTTTTTTTCGATTTTAGAGCTTTAAAACAGGGGTGTGCAAATTATGTGGTCATTCACAAACAAACCCGCAATGTTCTATATGGTCCTAACACACACAGTATGTACATTAAAAAAGAAAATAAAGCACATCATCCTCAGTTTAATCGAGCACTTTCGACGACCCTGTCTTCTTTAAGCTCTTCTCTAAATTGCTGGGAGAAATCAAATCCCACGTTGTGAGTATCCACTCGCAAACGATCTCTAGTGGCTTTTTAATTTTTTTAGTGAGAGTGAGCCCATACTCTCGGAAGGCCATCTACTGGATATACACCTTGCACAAGTACTCCTTAACTTTTTCGTTACCACGCCTATTCAAATTGATTACCGGTGATCGAGGCTTTTTGGTCATCGATTTCGGCTTGTTAAATTTATTTCTCGTGCACCGAGCATTATCGAGTAAAGTTAGTTCAGCCACTCAAATTTCAGAATTTTCTTTAGTTTAGCGACTAAAGCAACATAGTGACTTTTTTACAGACTTTTGTGCGAACCAATGTGCGTGTGTAGTTGAAAAAATGCACTAGGTTGGCGAACTTGACAGAAGTGCGTGCCCCACGCGATTATACTACAGTAACATTGAAGTTCTGTAATGAAAAGAAACTCTACAAGCCAAATATCGAATTGATGTGTTAGCTCCGCAATTTGACTGAGCTGAGCAGTAATAATTGTCGAAAATTTATGCCAGCTAATCAATAGAGAACTGTTGCTAGAAATCAGGGAAAATTAATTCTACAAAAAATTATTTCCCATGGTCTGCCGCATGTATAAAGTGTGGAGGTGGCCTCCACAGCCAGTTTCCAGACGCTTTGGTTTTGCTTGTATCACTATATCAGACATAGGGTCACATCTAGTGTCACTAGTTGCTCCTATGACGCGGTCATCACACGCACCATCAGCGCTTCAAAACACATGAGCTGCTTAAAACTGTCTTGCGACCACACCTGTATTGAGTGAGAACGAGCTGAGATTTCGTGGATGACAGCACGTCAGCTTCAAATTTTATGGGGACGATTCTTTGCGTCAGCCTGAGACATCCGTAGCCATTCATGGGTTTGTTTTGTTTACATCTTCAAGTTATCTCCTCCATCGCAAATGCATATAACTTCTGACCTTTGTGCATAATCCTATAATTACTCAGGTTACGAACGTGGTCCACATTTCGCTAGGGCGTGGTGTGGTGGCACTGGCTACAGAGCTTTTCCTAACGACAAGAAGGCCCCCGGAGCACATCTTGGCCCTGACTACAAAGCAGTGTGAAACATTTTAGAACTGCATGCAATATTGTGTTCTCTTTAATATCATATGCGCGAAAATGCGAAGAAATATGCTTGCACGCATATATTGGAACGCCAACCTATGCAGAGTGAGGTGGCTCGTGGAAAGATGTGACGCTAGATGAAAAAGCGAAGTTCATTGGACATCTCATTTATAGAGGGATTATTCACATCACGGGTTTCCATCTATATTAGAATACCTAGAGACTCTTATCCCAAGGCAACGAGAATTTACAGAGAAGAGTGTACGAGTACACTTGTGTCTCGCGAAAAAAAAAACATGCAATGCTTCACCGCATGGCATGAGCAATGAAGCAGCATTTCCGTTCTGATTTCTTTGTCTATGTGAAGAGAATTGATTGATTGATACGTGGGGTTTAATGTCCCAAAACTGCCATATGATTATGAGAGACGTCATAGTGGAGGGCTCCGGAAATTTTGACCACATGGGGTCCTTTAATGTGCACCCAAATCTGAGCACACGGGCCTATAGCATTTCCACCTCCATCGGAAATGCAGCCGCCACAGTCGGGATTCAATCCCGCAACCTGCGGGTCAGCAGACGAGTACCTTAGCCACTAGACCACCGCTGTGGGGCTATGTGAAGAAAAACATTTTGTACAATAATTATTTTTATACTGTTCTTGGATCATTTATCTACAAAATCTATATTCTGAATTTTCTTTGTTTTGAATACTTTTGCATATATAGTGTTTTATTATTTATTCCATTGTAATACCAGCTAGTGACGAAAAATTTCACACTTTTCACATTTTTATTCCTTCTAAAATTTGTTGCTCTCCAACTTATATTTTTTGGAAAGAGCATTTCATTCTGCAAAGTTTGGTATGCTGCAATGGTGCTGGAGTATTTTTCAAACTGGCAAAAACGATCTTCCTGAGACATATGAAAAACAACTATTCTCACTTGGTAACGAAAGAGTTAAAACTATTTATTAAGTATTTGTGCGACAATAGGATACAACGTCCCCCTTTTTCTTCCACAACAAAACCTTTCTCCCACATTAGCTGTCACAATTAACGCAATGCTAAGCGGCTGCTATCTCACTGATGTTCACATCAGCTCGAAAAAAAAAAATTACCATGGTTTTAAAAGGGGCTAGTAGTGCCACAATATCTATGACATTTGTTCCAGTTTTTATAAAAGCTTCCGAATTTCCATGCCATTCAGATAAAAATTAGGCGAATTCCTCCCCGCATTATGGCAATTGGTGTCATGCGAAGCAGTGAGCGAGTAATTGTCTATGCAGCATTTCTTGGCATTGAGCAAAGCATTCACGAGATAGATCGACATGTTTTTGCAAGTGCGTAGTTTTCACAAATGCGTAATGCTCATTGTGGACTTACCAGGTATGTCGACTACACTGGCATTTAAAGAGTAACTTATGGTTGATGTCATGTCAGCACAGTGTTGCCAAACAATGTTTGGGAAAAAAAAAACGTCAGTGCCAAAATTACCTTACTTCACCCTACACAACTTTTTTTGATACCTTACATTTTACCCTGCACTTAAAACAGCACAATGTAACAATAATAAAGTACAAACTATAGCTGCTGTACGACACGCACACATATGACATTTAAGCACTTTGCTTTTTGTCTTGGAAAGCGTAGCTATTATTCGAGATTAAGTGAAGAAGAGAGATGCACATGCATGGCAACAGAAAGAAAACAACAGAGCACGTGTTCACTGAATGTGAAAATACACGCTCGGTTCATGTTAGGGCATTAGCCCACATGAATCGTTGGTTCTTAGAGACAACATTGGAAAGGTAAACAGCTCAGTGATAGAGATAAGTAAAGGTTTATTGGGGGATTGGCGGTGAAAAACTAGGCAGAAACCAAAAATAAAAAATGAGAAAAACTAAACTCAATCTGCAATAAGGTGCAGAAAGCTAGGTTGTGATTCATAATGCTTTTAATAAGAGAAAAACCTTAATTCAGCAAGACAAGATTACAATGTAATAATAATAATAATTAATAATTCTTGAGCTTGGTGAAGTACAGGTCGGCGCACAGTCATAAAAAGAACGCAGTTTCATCCTTCCCTCGTCACTGAAAAAAACTTTCGTGGTTCCCTATGCATTCGCATAAGATTGGAAGGCAAGTCTTTTTTTTTTTTTCTTTTTAGACGGCTGCGCCCATCCTCCTGCCCTCAAAATATTTATGCACATTGCATGATTTTGCTTTGCCTTCGAGATTGGAGTCATTGCAAGCTTTCTAAATCATGTGCCCCTAGGACCGGCCCGCCTACGACTCTGACAATTTCATGTGATGGCGTACTTTGACATTGCATTGCGACGCCACAGTTTGCATTTTGATTGTTCGCATTTTGTCATCCGCCATTAGATAACACGTGCAGGTGACCCGGAAGCCTTGAATCTTAACTCCATTTCCCTGTGACATCGACCTTCTTTGAGCAGTGAATTTTCATTCAAATAGGTTACCACAGGGTACAAGAGCATTTCATACATGCGTTCTTCAACTTCAATTTTTATTTCACACTTTTTATAAAGCAGAGCCCATTCAGAAAGAAACTGGCCGACCAAAGTGAATCAACGAGACGGTCAACAAAGAGGAATCCCGCTTAAAACTGTAGTATTTTCATCTCAGTATTCACAACATTGGCAAGCTGCTGTCATAATACAGCAGATTGTGGAGCATGGTTTACTAAATGTACTCTCTTGAATTGAGCTAGTTGTCACTCATTTTGAAAGCACTTGACAGCACTGAAAATGGGGAATGGGACATATCAAACACAGTGTACTGCAGAAACGATGCCATGTGGCTCACAGCAACAAGAGCACCCCAAAAATGACGATTAAGGACATGACTTTGCACAAATTTTAGAACTGTAACGGTAAACATAAGAAATGCTGCATTTTTCTGGTTATTAAGCTCAAAACACATGACATATTAAAGCAAATGATTTTTTTTCCAACTCCACACTAAATTCTCAAAAATGAGTATGCATTAGGTTCAGTGATGCATTATAATCCAAATACTTTGAAATAAAGGACCTTTAGTCTTGAATGTTTGTCTGTCTCATCTCTCAATTTTATCCAATACAAAATAAGATTAACACTAATGTAATCATGACGTTAATGTAATTCAACTAGTATTTGTTCACCGTTGTAATGCTCAGTGCATGCATTCACATAAACACCAAGCGACAAGAAGGAAGAAGAAAGTAATATGCATTTTTTTTGTAATCCAGCTGCCCACTTTTCATGTATTCAAGTTGCTCTAAGGCCAAGCACAACAAGGAGAAACTTACCTCATCCTTACGAAGAAGCTGTACATACAGGTCCAACAGCTTCTCATGGCCCATCATTTCAGGATACAAAGTCGCTGTCTTGGCAAACAAATCCGCACTGCAAGTGTCCAAGGCAGTGGCATACTGATGCAAAAGACCCTGCAGCCGGCCTAGAAGGAACCGTACAAAGCACGAATGTGCGTACTGAACTGACTCGAGGGGCTGCCCTGGCCCTGGGGCTGCACCTGCCCAACGTTGTTCCAATTGCTTGGCCAGAATGCCACACTTGGCCCCAAGGCGTGCCACCAACAGCAACATTAGCACACCTTCGTGCTCATGCGCTAGGAAGTTCTCAGAAAGGAAGGCTGTGAGGTAGTCCACATGCCGATTGGCCTGAGCGACTTCAAGTCGTCGCAGCTCTAGATCAACAGCGCGAGCATGTGCCTTGCCCTGGGCAAGTCGCAGCGCCAGCTCGCTAGCTTCCATGGCAACAGGTGCTGGCTCAGACTGAAGCTGCTGCTCCAAGCCCTGAGCTTGTTCCCTAAGTTGAGCCACCAGTGCCTGGTACTTTGCCAAAGTCTGCTCACAGTCGGCCAGGGCCTCATGAGCTGCCTCAACTCGCCTGTGGCTGTCTGACAGGCGTACTTCTGCATGAGAGAGTTCTTCACGCAGCTCAAGCTCAGTCTCACGTGCCTGTTGCAGCAGTTCCTCATTGAGCTCATGCAGCTTCTCCATGTCATCCACTGCCTCACGCAGGTCACGCACGGTCTCTTCCAGGTCTAGGTTCTTCTCTGTCAGGTGTTCTACCATCTCCTCTGCACCCAAAGCCATGTCCAGCTGGTCTTGCAACTCTGTAATGGTGCACTCTGCTTGTTGATACCGTTCTTCCAGCTGCTGTTTTATCCGCGAAAGCTCTTGCACCTCAGCGCGGCATTGATCAAGTTCTTTCTTGTGCTGCTGTTTCTCATGCTTCAACTGAGTGGTTAGGTCACGTAACCTTACAAGCGCTTCACGCATCTTTTCATTTTCTTGAGCTAACTGGCGTTCTTTATAACTGCTGGGTTCACCTGTAGATAACTCAGAAGTAAGAATTTTGTAATCCAACTCAAGCATTTCGTACTTCTCCTTCCAATGATCGACCTCTTGTTGCAGCTGTTCTAGTTTCTCCTCAGCCATTTCCTTCTCTACTGTGGCCATCTCCATAGATTCCACAAGATCGGACACTTCATCAGCATGACGCTCTCGTTCGTCATGAGCTTCCTGAGCCTCACGCCGTGCTTGTGTCAGCTGTTTCTGTAACTCAGCCTGGGACTCTGTGATCTTAGTCTTGAATTCAAGCAGCTGCTGGAGCTGCAGTCGCAGGCGTTCGTAGTCTCGAAGTTGTGCTTTGCTCTCCTGCCTTTTCTGCATCAAAGTGTCCAGCTTCTCTTGCAGGTCTACAATCTGGGCCTTCAGAGCTTGCTTTTCAGCATCCTGCTCTTTTTGTGCAGCCTGTTTGTCCTGGCCAGCCTCTTCAACCACCCAGGTACGGGAGAGGGGCTCTGGCTGTTCAAGTGTTACAACCTCAGCAGTTGGGCCTGGAGTGGTTGTGGCTGTAAAGAGAGAATTTTTATCACAGGTACTCCTACAGGCATTATGGACTTTATGATGTGGAGCACAACAAACACTGTTCAAGAGACACTTGTTAACACCATATCAGTTATTAGCACATTTTCCTAAATTCTTTCAACAAAGTAATACGAATAAAAGTTTATGTTGGTTCACAACTAAAAAACTTAGAAAGAGACGCAATACAGAACTAAGGACTGTCTTTCTTCCTAATAAAAGTTTATAAACAGACATCGCACAGTGATGATACCTACAGCAACTTCACATTAAAGCTGGCCACTCTGCAGTATATAAAAATGATGCAAGGCAAAATAAAATATACACTGAAACCAACATACGAACAAGACCTGAAAGTAAGACAAGAACATAAAAGACTTGTATTAAAAATTGGGCTCCTAAATACAATGACACGAGTCCCATGGCCAACAAAAATTAAATACACTTATGAGACAGCCTGCATAATATGCACTTTTCTGCATAATATCTGTCACCAATTTTTATACTTTGAACTTATATTAATAAATTGCCACAAACTTCTAGCAGCAGCCCATTGGGAATACCAGATGACAATGCACAAACCACCCTGCCTTACACTACTGCAATGCACTTGTATAGCTCTTGTGACAGGCACAGGAATCACCCAGTCCTTTTCTGCTATTCATGGTCAGAAAGTGCCATGCAAGCTTTCTGATCTTTTTTGAACACCCAAAAATACTTGCACACTGTGCGCTAAGGCTTCAAATGCCAAGCCATAAATTGTTTCACACAATTTAATATCAGGATCACTATCTCCATTGTTTAGACCTTTGCTTTTGTGCTAGTGGCACTGACATCCAGTAGGTACATGACCAGAAAGATTGCAACAGTGACTTGAGAAAAAGCAACACAGAAGAACACAAACCATTCAACAAAGTAGCAAACGTCAGACGTGGCAAATGTCCTTATTCCTCTCATTGCTTACAGCAAGGAGCCAACTAGCAATCTAGTTCACTATACTCATTGAAATGTAAAGTAGCAATCATTACAGCACAACTTACCACATATTTCAAATCATTACAAAGATGTCAAGTTCTTTTCAGCAAAGGAACTCCGGATGCACTTAGTAAACACGTGATGACTGAACGTAATTTCTATCTTTCGCAATTACTGCTTTCTATATTTTCACTTGTCGAAGCCAATTGTGTATGATTTCCTGTTTTCTTGTGCATCAATTTTTTTATTATTCTTATAATATTTAGATATTGTTTTGTATATTTCTGTGAACATTTATTTATTTTTTTTAATTTCTACCAATGTTGCTATTATTTTTATACAACTGCCACATATGCCTTGTAATGAACCATCGACCCAGTCAAGCTATCTGACAACAGCTTTTAGCCCATGGTATCCCCCAGAACCTTTGTATTTCTGGAAATAAAAAATCTATTCTACTAATACAATATTATCATGTCAATATGGGCTGGCTTTCTGCAACGAATAACCATGAGAGTGGTCATAATGGTTTAGGCTATGCTGATGTAATATAACAAGACTGATTGATTGATTGATTGATTGATTGATATGTGGGATTTAACATTCCAAAACCACCATATGATTATGAAAGACGCCGTAAAGGAGGGCTCCGGAAATTTCGACCACCTGGGGTTCTTTGTCGTGCACCCAAACCTGAGCACATGGGCCTACAACATTTCCGCCTCCATTGGAAATGCAGTCGCCGCAGCCGGGATATGAACCCGTGATCTGCGAGTCAGCAGCTGAGTACCTTAGCCACTAGACCACTGCGGCGGGGCACAAGACTGATGCAAAAATAGTGGTCTGAAAGCAACAACCATTCACAGTGCCCATATTGAAGCACATATACTGATAAATGTGGGAAAGAATGTGTTTAAATTGAGATTGTTTTCTACGCCCCATAACTGAATCTAAAAGCAACATCACATAGTGATCTACCAACACAAGTAAACAGAAAAAGATACAGCAATCAAGGAAGGTCCATCACAAAGATGGTATCCCACATTAATTTTCTTATTTGAGATTGTAATGTATTATGTAGTTTAGATTATGAAGCAGCTTATTCCCCATTTTTATGTTTGGAAACCATAAAAACACAAAGCTTTATCTGCACAATATTTAGACTTAAGTTAGGCACACAATCACTGAACAACATCTTGCTAAGCAAACACATATTCATATTTGTAAAAATGAATGTCACTACAAGTTGTACTGTTATTAATGTCCACTTTTAATAGGTTGCATCAAAGGCCTTGTGATTATTTGTAATACCCTAATGAAATTCAGGCTTTTTACAGTAATTATTCAGTCAACAGCTACTTGATAAAGAAAAAAAAAATGGGAAGAACAATTTTGTGTCAGTACTATGGTGAAGAAAACTTACAGAGTAGAAAGAAAGGTTGTTACTGTAACCCATCAGATGGGACATCCATAATGCAAGGTATAGTATTGATCAGTAAAGTAGTATATCACTACCTATAAGGTTCGAATGAAGGAATCTTTTTTTTAGGGGGGGGGGGGCTTACAAGTCTTTTATCTGGTAAGAAAGATACATTGAAATAATCATTATATTTCTATGGACAAATAAGTCCATACAAATATAATATCCATTTTCATAAATCTTTCATTCAAAAAATCAAAATTTATAGCTACTGACGTACAGAGTATAATATGTCATTGTGCACCTTAAACCCATATCCTGAAATGCTCCTTACCTCAGTGAGGGGACCTTACTCAGTGAGGGGGCCTTAACTGCTTGAGGACGCCTTATCAAGTTTCCTGGAATGCTCCTTACTAAGGTTCCCTCACTGAGGCCCTACTTTGCACTCCCTCAAGTTAAGGTGTCACTAGACCAGCCCTCATGCCTCGTTACCTTGCTACTTCCTCTGAAAGGGCGTTGCTCTGCACTACTTTGTCAGCGGCACTGTGTGCAATTTCTTATTTTCGATGGATGCTTTGTACTTCAGCACAAGCAAAATATGACTGCATCCTCGCCATTCAAAAATTGCTTTTCATGCATGTGGCTAAACGGCTGTCAAAATTTTGTTTTTTAATAAGGCGCAGCGCAAGGAGGACAAATTACACAAATAAAAAATAAAGAAAGACACACAAAGAATGCAAAAAAAAAAGAAAGACTCCCTTCATCACCTACTGTTTATACTGGTTTATTCAGGAATGACAGCTTTTATTTGAATTAGGCTTACAACGGCTTCATTTGCATAGGCATTCTCTACATGTCTAAAAATAAAAGTATAGAGCAAATAAAGACGAGACGCAGGAAACAAGTAGACAGGACAGAATGCTTGTTTCCTGTGCCCCGTCTTTATTTGCACTCTACTTTTATTTTTAGACATGCACCAACCTGCCCGGCAGCACACTATATTCTCTACATGTCATGCCAACTGCTTCCATAATGATGCAGGTTGCAGTCGTTCAGTTAGCAGGAAATCACATTTGTCATAGCAAACCCAGGTGTGCAACCGCATGCACTTCAATGAATGAACCCTCCTTTCCTTCTCTGCGGATTATCTCAACCACTGAGATTACAAATCCATCGTGACACAAGTGAGTGACCTGCCCTTGAAAGCTGGTGTCTACTCTATGGCCACAGAATTATTTTAATACGCTGGAGAAGAAAGCCAGAACAATGACTCTATTGATTGCACAAGCTTGCTTTGAACAGTGGGGAAATCACAATCACTGGGGAAATTGAGCTTAATGTCAAGAAACTAGACTGGGTCCTAGTGTAGAACATTACATATTATGACCAGGGGGACGACAGTCTTCAAATTTCCCAAACCGTTAGCCACTGCCACTATAAGACTACTAATAAATTTTCCACATGTATTGGAATACTGTCAAGGCTTGGGTCCCTGGGAACCGCTGCTGTAAGACTGTCACCTTTTGCTAGAAACAGGTTGATCCACAAAAGTGTGATGCATGACTTGACAGACACACCCTTGTTCAGAATGTACACATATTTTACTTGGGCATCAGTACATTTGAAACAACCTTGTACCAAATTCAGGAAATTCCACAAGCTTAATGCTGCTCAGTTACCAAAATAAATCTCACCCACCTCTTAAATACTTTAAAAAGTATTTATTACTTGCACCCTCAAAAATTCAATGTAGGTAATGACCTCCCTGGTTGCTCAACCATTTTGTTTAACAGAAAAGGCTATGCACACATATTGCAAAAAAGCAATCTACACGTTATCATTCATAGGTATGCATTAAAATATTTGTTATTCTTGCTTAAAAGCGAACGTTTAGGCAATATTTCTCACGTACCCTCACTCCCGTGAAACATGCGTTTTATTTTACTGAGGCAGTCCTTTGCCAAGGAAGGTTGAAGCAGGCTTTTAGAATACAGTGGCTCCCTCAAGGAGCTCATTAAGATAAGGAGGCATGAAGTGCTCCTCACATAAGGTAAGGAAATGGCCTAAGGTAAGAAGTGTTTCCAAATACGGGTCTTAGTATGGCTTACACCACTCGTATATCTGCAAACCACTATTAAATACAGAAATATTTATATAACACATACATAATGGGCAATAGCAAGTATACACGCTCAAACTATTAATGCCTACTCGACCAGATGCTATCAGAAAGCTTCACTACAACACAATTTTTATTGCTGAGTATACTTGGGACGGACCCATAGCCAGGAATTTTTTTTTCTTAGGGCGGAGGGGGGAGGGGGGTAATTGGCTGAAGGCCTTGAAAATTCAACAGAAACACCCGTTATTTTTTTCCCCCGATGAAACACCTCTCCATCAAAACCCTGCAACACTTCTTCAGCATGGTCAGAAAATGCTACCAATGAATAGTCAAGGCTCCTGAGAACACATGAGCCAACCATATAGCATAGCACAGCAAGTGGCCTGGAATTTACAATTAAATATCAAAGTCCGCTACAAATCGTCTCTCTTCCCATGACAAATCATGCCATAAACCCAAATGACTGTGCACAAAACCCAGAGTTCATGGCCACAAGCTAACATGAACATATTGAGTTGCACAGTTACTGGGCAACCACAGGACGCTGTCACATGCTCGCATGCACACTACCTCACCCCCCTATTCTAAGAAAAAAAAATGGAGAGCAGAAAGTGCTCAAGGCCATGACACACGCTTACAAAGAGATGCATCTTTTTTTTTCCCCTCTCTTCCCCACCCCGCCTGTGTCGCTTTGCTGGTATAAAAATAGAGATGCAAGCGACAAATCCCTGCAACTCCACTCAAACTTGGTGGATTCTGAAATTTTTTGAAGTCTTTTAAAACAGCCAATCAATGATAACTTGGAAAGGTGTTGCGGGGCTCCTTTAAGTGTTAGACGAATGCATGGCACAGGAGTGATAAATAGCCAGGATTTTTTTTTCAGGGACAGGGAGCACCCAAATGTAAGCGGCTAGATAGATAGATACGTAACAGAAATGCTCAAAATGCCTTAGGTTCGCTAAGAAATGTTTCCCATTTAAAATAGGTGCTTCAAAAGTGTTTGAGTGCCCCTTTAATTTAAACTAGTTTTATGCACCAGCAGCATGGTATGTTATGAGGCATGTGGCAGTGGGGGACTCCTGATTACTGTAATTATTTGAATCTAGTGCAAGTTTTTTTTTTCTCACATATTTCCTATTTACAGTCGACTCATGTAACAATTGAATATAGAAATGCTACTATTTTTACTATTTTTTTTCTTCCTACACAGAATGAAAAGTCACCCTTCGCATTACAATTGTGGCTGCGTTACAATCGAGTAAATATGATAATTTTGACCCGCTGAGCTTCTTTAACATGCACCTAAATCTGAGCTAACACATTGTTGTTTCAAAAACGTGTTCCGAGCTTAGCAGAGCATATGTATAATAAGCTATGGCATTAGGTTTTGCGTAGTGTAAAAATAAGGCAAAAAGGTTTACAAAAAAAAAGTTAAAGAAAATCAACAATAAAATAAGCCCAATGAAACAGGGACATTATGTTTTTGTTGTATGATTGATAGCCTCTTCATTCTCACAAATCACCAAAACAATGAGGCTTTGAAACTATGATCCACACTACAATGATATGACAAAACAAGCACTTGACTAAACTGAGCTCATTTCATGAAAGCGAGGTCACAGACAGGGTTCACAATAATTACAGAAGATATTATAACACAAGGAAAGAGCCATGATACCTCAAGTTCAATGATTATCTGTGTTATGTGGGTTAATACTTGTGCATTCACAAATAAGCTGACAAAATTTTAGCACATTTGGTGAAGACCTTAACTTATAAATGAATACTTTTATAATTATGCGAGCGACCTGAGAGTCGGGGAGCACTGGCGCACCCACAAGCCATAACATAAGCTGCTTGCGGCATGAGCATCTGCATTCTGGTGAACAATTTTACTGCGCAGTCAATTATGTGTGCAGACAAGCTATTTCAGCTTTGTTAAGATTGGCATTGAAATTGAATGATTTGCAGCAGCTGAAACTGATAGAAAACAATGGCTGTGCTCAATATAGCATATAATGTCGCACACACCATGGTTTAATAGCAGTCGCTGGTAGAGGGCGAGGTTTATAGCCAGTGACTGCTAGGACTTACTTTGCACTAAAATATTCTTTTACACTCCATTACACATATATGTATAGTCACGATAGGCCCTATACTGCTATTTTTCACTGAAAGGCCGCAAATTGTTGAATGACCATGTCATGGCCCCTTTAACATGTACCCAGAGTCTGCATAGCTTGCAACATGCAAATGAACAACCTTTTCCTTTTAATATGTTTATTTTATATGGCACAGAGCATCTAAACTGAAACAAATTCAAATACACTAAGTTCTGTTTGATTTCAAATTAATTACAGAGTGAACTTTTTAAATGACTCCTTTTGCAAGGCTCCATACAGAAAATTCAGCAAAAGAGTGATAAAAAGTAATATAATATTGTACACCTACCAAGGGGCTTTGGTTGCTCCGCAGTGCCACCAGGAGGTTCTTCCTCCGAGATTCGCAGCTGTGATTGGCGCACAAATATACCATGGTTGTCGGCGCATGAAAAGTAGGTTCGTCCCTGAACAGTGCCATTGTTCTTGCCCTTGGGCTCATCCAGGACCACACCAACCCAACGGCCAGAAGAGAAGCTTGTGGTGCCAAGAAAAGCCACCCGCCCACGCACATCTTTGCCAGCCACCTCCACACGAGCACCAATCTCAATCACTTTGCCATCGTATGTTGTCATGTTGCACCTCTACCTACAGACATGCACAACAATCACTTAAACAGTTATGCCTCTGGATTGCATCCTAATACACAGACCACACTTTTTATGGGTATTGCCATGAAAAGCGCCACTCTACACATCACATTTTATGAACCAGACTGCATGTTACACCAGCTCAACTGCCGACATCCCCTAAAAGCTACTTGCATGTGCGTATTGCATGTAGTATTCTTGCTTCATCATAGTTTAAAAAAACTAAAATGCGCAGTTTTCAAAGTCTTCAGAAAATGAAAGACGGACAATACTGAAAACCTTTGGAGAATCATATGTTTTACCTCCACAGAACTCTAAACCACCAACACAAAAAGCCCTTCACCATCTACGAGATCTTTGGTGCCATGTCCATCACACTTGCGAAAAGCAATGAAAGCACTGCAGCAATTTCTGACGGCTATGGAACTAGGTGACAGTCCCTGACATTGAGCATGAAACTTACTAGGCGAGAGGCACTGAGATTGATACCCAGCACCTCCGCCACTCTGCAAGACAGCAGTGATATTGTGATCGCGACACTGTTTATTCAGCGGAGCCGCCTGACTAATTTTTTGTACAAAGAAGATGCTCACAGTTTGCAGGTGAAGCAGATGGATGGACAAATGCAGTGAATATTGTGCTCGCACTATGTCCCCTGCAACAGAAACCTTAAGCTTCTCCTCAAACTTATTCCCCTTCCTCAGTGCAGGATGCTAGAGCAGGTTCAGCCCTGTTAGCCTACCTGCCTTTCTTTTACCCTCCTGCCCACCACCCACCTCCTCCTCCTCCAAGTTATGTGTTTGGATAAGCCTTTATAGTATGTTAACATTGGAAACTTGGAGGCTAACAAACACTTGAGTATAAAATAAGAACTATGCAATCGCGATAGTACAAAAAGTGTATGGTTTAATGTTAAGAAATCGGAAAACTGCTGTATTGTAGGGCAGATAAGTAGTGCTCTAGTATGATCAGCAGAGCTCTACTAGACAAGTTCCAAGGCAATAGTAATACGACCTGGGGTTTTGTGAGCCTAATTACTATACGAGTGTGAAGCATTCCTTAGTGCATTGCTTGAAAAATTTTGAACACCTGGGGTTCTTAAACACGCACATAAATCTGGATACACAGACCTGAGCATTTCACCTCCATCGAAATGTGGCCACGAAAACCAGGATAGAATTGACAACTTTTGGATCGGCAGCTAAGCCACATAACCACTGCACTACTGTGGTGGTAAGTGCCAAAAGGAGAGAATTAAAGTCAAGGATGAGACATAAAACTTGGTTGGCATGAGAAAATTAGTGAATTTGCAAGCATAAGATGAAATTAGCTGGTGCAGGGTAGGGATAACTGAAGATTCCCGATGGAGGCCTTTTTTCCCGTAGCGAAGATAAATAGAACGAAGATGATGACAACACATTCATGTTAGCATGCCAGAACGGGTGGCCTTGTATTTGAAAGGGCCAGCCATTGTACCAACAAATATTTTGCACAGTAGCAAGAAAACACAGAAAAGAAACTAACAGCAACAAAAGGTAGGAGTTAGTAATAAAGTTGAGAGAAGAGGATTAAGTTTTCTTTAAAAGTGAGGCCCCTTGCAAACACCGCGAGAAAAGGAGAGTTCTTCAACTTGTAAATCAGATTGTTTTTCAATTTTGTGACCGACGACTTGGAGCTCATCGTACTGCTGCATTTGGCACTGATGATCGCGACGGCATTCTGAACTTGATGCACATGATTACTTGAAATGTTAAGTAAATACTGGAGATGTCTTAAGGCCCTTTAAAGATCAATTGCAAAACAATCACTAAATGCATAAAAAGCCCAGTTGCTCATGAAAAAACTCTCTTACAAAATTTTCAGCCTTTAGGAGTGCAAGTGGATGTGAAGAAGCTTACTCAGTGGGAGTTTTTTTTTTTTTTTTTTTTTTTTTTTTTTTTTTGAACCACAAGCACTTGTGAAAGAGGTGGCTGCGTAAAAATTATGAGCCTAACAGAATATATTAGACATTTCGGAATGTCACTGACCCCATACAGCAAAATTCCCGGGTGACACCTCAACACACTTTGAACACTATTTTCACTTGTTCCTGAACATTTGTACAGTCAACCACAAAAATTTACCGACCACGGGAACGCATGGCCAAGAGCCTTTTGCCAACATTTCCGCTGCATCAGCGGCGATCGACAGGAGCATAGCGCCCGAGGCACAACCTTTTAATCAATGGCCTGTCTGTTTTCTGACTGGAGGCAAATATTTTTCCCCTTTAACATTTAGATGCAACCCACTCTTTGGTAGCCGTGGCTACTTGTTTCTATCTTAAGAGCAGTGATTAAGCATAACTGTTACCAGTAATAACCCTTCTTGCAAAGTGATATTTACAAAATGATATCTTCAATTCTTCTAATAAAGCAGAAGTGTGAGAGTCATTGTAGCTAAACATTTTGCATGAAAACTGAACAAACAATATGTAGTGCATCAGCAGAAAGTTTAGACCAGTGAATGCACCAATAAGACCCATTTCTGGCCCTGCACTGTGGTCGATTGTAGATGGCGTACTACTAGAGGCACGGACAAGCAGTTTGGCATGCGCTCGCTTGGTCCATAAACTTTTGTGGTTGACTGTACTTAAAGAATCTTCAAAATGCATACCTACAGGACATGGTAGGTGTGCAGTTTAGTGTGTGAGAATACTAAGTGAAATTTGCTAGGAATGTAAATATTGAACCAATTTCTATGAATTAGCAAACATGCAGACAAGCCAAGGCCAAAGAGAACTGCAACTGTTTACATCACAATCGGAGCATTCATGTAATTCAGGCAAGTGTAACATGTGGTAGACATCTGTAACCTTAGCTGCGCTAACCAAGCATGAACTGAAATCTATAGCTATGTCAACTTTTCCAATGTCAACTGTTTGACAAACCTCGATCTCAAAAACAATAATTTCAACTCGATTCCATTTCATTCTAATTATCCACCACTTTGAAGCAGTCAGTCATGGTGTTGACGCGAGTGGGGCACTGCTCAAGCCCAATAAACAAACGAATGAGTAGAAATAAACGGAATCGTAAGCTTATTAACCCGAAGACAGCACTATACTACATGAAATCGGAAATAAAGCTAAATCTCCAAGTAGCCAAGCGGTGATCACAAGATTCGTTCTTTAGAGCAGCACAGTTTGGACAAGTCCTGCGTGCATGGATCCGAAAGATGAAATTGGTAAAATCTCACTATTAAAAGACGTTAAAATAATTTACCGTGCTCTACGCACAGCTCTCGTAGCTACTTTTCATAAGTGTCGGAGGGCTTGCCTAATGGCGCGAAAAATCTAAAGATTTTTCCTAAACTAACATAAATTGTGTTGACCGGAATAGGGCCAGAAATATTAACGACAGGGGACGCATACGTACTCGAGCTACTGTACCATAGCAGCGTAATGACTAGCATCAGACCAGGTCAGCTATGAAAAAACGTTCAGATCGGGACGATGATTTGTTGACGACTGCGACTTTAACTCGAAAAGTATGGTTCCATAAAATAATTTTTAGAAGATTCTAGACATGGTCACTTACAGTAAAAAAATATGATTGAAGGTTGTCCGTTCTCAGTGCTACAAGACTACCAAAAACCGAAGAAAAATGTGCTTACAGCTGCCTGTGGCAAGTGAACTGGGCCATCGCGTATGCTTCCTCCAATGTTAAAAAATCTAACGGCTCACACTGCGAGCTGACACGTAACCTTTGTAGAACGTGTTTCTTTTCTGCCCTCTTAAAGGATAAAGGTTCAAGCACAACAAAATATTTCGCAATAGCACATAAACATCTAGAGACACACCCACAGAACACAATCAAGCAATAGGCGGGCTTAGTTGAAGTCCTGTGTCATATAAGCACCATTCGCTGACACACACCCGGTAATCGGCAAAATTTTTCAAAAAGTAAATACCTTTGGGCGTCTACAAGTCGGTCAGCCCAGCTTGCGAACGAAACACATCACACCAGCTACAAGGACTAGTAACTTAGTCTTCTTTCTTCATTCGGTCACGGCTAAACCACAGAACACCTATGGCTACTGAACGGTGGTGGTTAGAAGAAGAAAAAGAAGGCGCCTAATTTCTGCAGCCCGGTGGGAAGCACGGCGCTGCACAGCTGCGTGCGTGAAGCGACAATGATCCAAAGAGATTTCATGGAGAGTTCAAGGGAGAGTTGTCCAAAGCCAACGCAAAGCAAATCCGGAGACCTTCATCACGTGACCAACTCTATAAGGTATTTTGCATAGAGTTTCTCATAAATATGGTATTTTGTGTTCTGTGCTATTCTCAAGTGCTGCCTAGGGACATTTTTTTGTGTGTTCGTGCGGGAAAGCGGCCAGAGAACCCATTTGAACTCCGGTGTTGTGACCCGTGTTTCTAGAGTATCCGACGGCGCTGACGGTTTAAGTAACGTCGTTTTTCGGCAACGCATTTTTCAAACTTCAAACCAGCAACTCTGATGCACGACCTACTGAACTCGCGTCGTCGTCAGGTGCATTATATTTAGCAACGCCAACACATAACGCGCGTGCTTTTTCGTGACAAACGTCGGAAGTGGAGGTGTTGCATGTGCTGCTGGCTACGGCTTCTTAATAATCACGTAACAAGGGCGTTCCGTGCACTAGTACCTGCGCATTTGAGAAAAGTACGATTAGTTTGGGTGCCTGGACATAAAGGTTTGTTTCTAAATGAAATAGCCGATTCCTTAGCTAAGTCGTCAATCAGCGAACCAATTCTACCGCTCTGTCCATCATCCGCTTATGTGACTGCTGCTCGATTCCGCAGGCGTACGCTTATGCAAGTCTTTAAAGGTTCAGCACTAACAAACTCTACAGAATATCGCCATTTATTATATTCCTGGCGAAGAGAGTTTTGCCGCACTCGAAAACAAGAAGTAGCTATCACAAGGCTGCGTTGCCGGCTACCAAATCTAAATTTCTATAAACACAGGTCTGCTCAGGCACCTTCGCCACTGTGCGCATTCTGTGATAAACTGGAAACAATAGACCATTTCTTTTTGACCTGCAGGCGGTTTAACACATTACGAAAAACCCTATTAGAAATACCTTTGCGTGGTATTGGTATGGACTTGTCTCTGCCTGTCATTTTGTCTTTTGGAGCTTCTATTTCTGGTTTCTCTAATGGGACAGTATGCGCGGCAGTCCGGGACTATATTGATGAAACTAATAGGTTGACTAATTAACCAGTTTCATTATCCTAACATGTCCACATAATTATATACGTATAAAATCAGATTATTCCTCTATTCTAAAAATAAATTCGTTTATGTAAATATTTGTATGCATTACATTAAGCACCACACTTGCCTAGGCTATCGGTAATCTTTCTGTTATACCTCCATCATTCCAAATCTGAACAGTAAATTTTAAAACCACTCGATTGTTGGCCAATTCCCCACAGTGGGTATGCGCCACTAGCAATAGGAGAACAACAACAACAAGTCCCATGTGCTTATGTTCACGCCTGTTGCTGTAAAGCGCGTGTTTAAACGCTGTCGTGCACTTATGGGATATACTTTCACAAATAAAAGGAGCTGTAATACATCACATAGTCAGCTTGAATTCCTAGCACTGTTATGCATGTGTTAGGAATGCATGTGTTAGTGTTAGCCAGTAATGTGCAAAATACACAAATGTGGAGCTCTGCACTCTGCTCTCACAGTGTTAAGCTACATGTCATTCTACAGCTGCCATAGTTTTAAGTGGCAGGGAGAAAATGCCAAGTGGCAGTGAATAAATGCTGCCTTTATTGTATATAATTTTTCTGTCGCAACGCAGCTACGTAATGCAATAAAACAAACTTGCAGTGAAGGGATATGTGAAAATTAGCGCAAGTACCCACAGGCTGCAATGTGGCGTTTCTGGCGTCATTTGTGCGAAATAAGCTTTCTTAAATGAAGTTTATTCAAATCTTGCTATAAAGTGCCACACAGAATATTTTATACAGAAGGAAGTCCACTAGCACTAGGCTACGCACACCGACATACAAATAAAAGCAGATTGGTTTGCAAGAACACCAATATAACAGGAAAGTGTGTGTAGTAATATAACAAAAGTAATGGTAAACAAGAACTATATTACAAACAGTACTCATTAAAACATCGATACACAGTCTGACATCCATAGCATATTCTAACGCCCCTTCATGCGTTTTCAAAAATCAGCATTAGACACGATGGAGAGGCTGGAGTTAAAACAAAATCATAGTAACGATTTGAGATGAATAAATACGCATATTTTTACTCCCATGAGTAAGTACAGCCCAGCGTCACTGAGGGAAGGAAAAATAGAGCAGAAAGGAGAAGACTACCCACAACAGGGAGCACTTGACTAGGATCCAGTGGCCAGGCGCTTTTTTATCTGGCGGCCGTGACTGGGATACGTCCCCCGCTAGAAAAAAATGAATGAAAAAATACTGGGTTCAATTCACAGTGCCGGTGGCACTGTGAATTGAACCCAGTATTTTTTAAATTGGAGGCGTATGCCCTAACCACTTGACCGCTGATATGGTTGAAACTATATTTTAAGCATTTCATACTGCTGTGCACTTCCTCGCGTGCCCTGCCACAGTAGTCTAGTGGCTAAGGTACTCTACTGCTGACTCGATCTAATCCCGACTGGGGCGGCTGCATTTTCGGTGGAGGCAAAAATGGTGTAGGCCTGTCTGCTCTGATATGAGTGCTCGTTAAAGAACCTCAGGTGATCGTAATTTACGGAGCCCGGAGCCCTCTACTAAGGCATCTCTCATAATGATATAATGGCTTTGGGATGTTAAACCCTACATATAAATCAATCACTTCCTCGCATGTAAAAAGTATGCCTTTCAGGCTTCTGATTGCCATAGTTGGTGCTGTCCTATGTTAAATTCTCACATGAAATTAGCTTTTGTTTTTCTGACGAAAGTTTCAGGCAGCATTTGCTGTTAAAACACAAAACATACTAGGTTAGAAATACAATTGATTTCAGATACATTCTTGACCTGCATATTTTACTCAATGAGTAACTAACTGAAACCTCTCAGAAGCCATAAACACAAGCACTGGCAACAACTAGGACTGATTTGTTAAAAGTGCACTACAACTGCTGCAACCCGCACACATGAATGTCTGCATGCCCACGTATGTGGATACGTGTGTGTGTAGTGTAAGCTGGACGTGGCTTACACCACGCACATGCGTAGTGTAAGGAGTAGTACTATCTACTGAGTACTGAGTAGTACTATGCTGAGTGAGGAGTAGTACTATCCATCTTTACCACTACAATAGAGCTAGTGCAAATCTCCGGAACGGTGCTTGTATTGCGATTCACACTGCTTTTCATTACTCCCCAATAAAAATCACTACACTTACTACTTTGACGATGATGAACACGCTAACAAAAAATTAAGCATTGTACGATAAGATTGTAACAATGGTAAGCATATACTACAATCGCGAACCTGTTTCTCCACTTGCATGCAGCATGAACCTTTTATTTATTGATTTATTTATTGCCTCATATGTGAGAGTTTTAATATGCTCAGTGAACAACAGCAGGAAACACCAATATGACGCAGTGATGACATGTTCCTGTTGGCTATGACAACATGTTAGAATTTCAGCATATGTATCAATAGATCGTTTTTTCCTAGAAACTCACTTGGATACATCAGAGCATGCCGCAAGAACCGACGGCCCACAATTATTTGTGGAAGAACTTGACACACGTGAGGAGACCACACTTGATAGAGTGCTGCACAATTCATTTTGATTTAATCGGGATGGGGAGCAATTTCTCTACTTAAACGGCCCTAAGTATGTATCTAGATTTTGTGAAGATTAAACATTGCACACAGAAATTTGTTCCATGTCATAATAAATTGTTTAGGAGATACAGTGCATGATTTCTGAGAGGCCTTGGCTGGTAGCTCGTTGAATAAATTTATGCAGGTTGTGTAAAACACATGACTCAAGAACCATCATCTGGATGCCATCCAAATTCTAGGACATCACCATGCTCTGGAATATTTTGTGTTGCACAGTGCCTGCTATTTTCCCGGGCTCATTGGCAGGATTTGCATATATATATATATATATATATATATATACTACAATACACAGTAACACAGTTGAAAAAATAAATTTTGTCAAAAGAAAAGATTCTAACCAGATATAACACTAAGCACTTTAACTTAAGTTCAAATAATAAAGTTGCAACATAATTTCCTCTGTTAATATCAACTGTTTCAGAATGGCCAGGTCAATATTCAAGGCCAGAGTCTCATTTCAACCATTTTATTAGGACTCCTAATTTTCCCCCACAAAAGGAATATGTTCAATATCAAGAAATACGGACTTGACACACACAGTTTTATTTGTCAAGGGGGTGGCAGAAGGTTATACTAATGATGGTATACAGCTTTTGAAAAATGACACCTAAATGCTTCAAACTTGCTAAATATTTTTACACTGTAATGCTGTCTTCAATCTTTGCTCTATGCTGCTTCAGTCACATCCTGTTAACATCAGTTCCGTAACACCATAATGTGCACATTTGTTGAAGTTGATGATAAGCTTACCGCATTGTTATTTTTTGCTATGAAAATTATAGTTTTAGAGTAGAACATGCAAGCAGCTTGTGAAAACTTGGTAATACAGCCACATGGGTCCCTGAATACAGAGTTTTTTGGGTATGCATGCACCTTTTTATGCCCTTTAATCTAGCATAAGCAGTAAGAAAAAAGCTATAATGATAGGGCTTTGGAACTTTGTGGCTCTATTCTAGCTGTTTCTTTAAATGCTCATTTAAGCTAATAGCTACATTACTGTGACTGCAACAGTCTTGCTCTCTGCCACATTTTGTGATGAAAGGAGTGCTCGCTTTGTTTGAATAGTTTATTTCAGTTTCAGCTCCCTGGTTTCTTCAAGTAATCCACCTTTTGAACATAGACATTATCATGCTTCTCAAACACAGTTGTGCAGCTACGCCACCTGACAAAACTATTTTTAGCTATAGTTGTACAGGTCATGAAGTTTGTAATGAATAATTAGAGCTAATCACAGCTTGAAAAAACACATCAAGTTGAAGGATCATGCATATCACAGTGTCTGTATGCAAAGCTCTATTGCCAATGAAATTCATGTTGCATAGCTTTGCAAAGAACAGAGAAACAAGAGGTTGTGGTAAAGATAAACAATCTGTTGCGACTTTTAATAATGTGTAGCCAGTGCATTGCTGAAATAAAAAAAATGTGAAGCTCATTTTAATTACCAAGGTAGTTGCAGACATGTTGGCGCAGCCTCATCACCTGGGGCTGTATTCTGAAACGACCACTTTAACGAAAGTGTCAGTTGGTGTGGCACAGAGTCCAGCTCATGAAATCGTTCAAGCGACTACTTGCACAGCTTTCCTTAGCCAGCAAATAGATGAGCACACTGAATCATAGAGAGATTACATGAAAATACAGCCTCTGTAGATCTTAGCTGCAGTGTGTAGTTATGCCGTGATGACAAATGTGATATAGCTACAATATTTGAGGGTAAGAAAGTGTGCTGATCAAGAAGCTTTAAGGGAAATACTAGTTGCCCCACACAATGCCGCTATGACGTGTGCGATGGATAGCAGTTGGGGACAGTAATTATGTTATGCACACAATAGTCCTCACATGGACTCAAGTTCTCTGGAAATTTCAGGCGTGCCAGACGCACAATGGAGAAATCTGGTTGAACAGAGTACTATTTATTGGAAGAGTTGGTACATAGCTATTCCACACACTATCAAAGGTCAGTTGAAGGTTAACTTTTTCTGCCTGCTCCTTTTTTTTCATAAACATTCCTTTTACAATGCATTACAATGCTTTAAGTGGAGAAGCCTATAGTCTGAAAGACAAGTTTTATTAGAAGTTCAAGCATGTGGCTCCAATTCGCGGCAGGCAATCTTGAGTCTGTAGCTTGGAAATGCAGTTGAGCATGTGCAAAAGAGCCACTAAGGACAGGTATATGCACAGAAAGGTACATGAGGTAAGTGCAAATTCTGTTTGGGCGATTATACAAGAATGGCCACACACCAACTTCTTCAAATATAATGTGCTGAAGTCGTCAACTAAGCAGAGTGTCTGGCGTTCCCAAGCTCTCTGCCGAATGAGGCCATAATGTGATCTGCAGTGGCGTCTCTTCATGGCTTTCTCAAAGTGAATATGTATTGTTTCACAGTGCAAGGGCCAATAATGGCCAAAAAACACTATCCTCAAGGTTGACATTCACTTTCTTGTCATGGTTTTCTTTCAAGAGTGCCCTCAATATGACTGCAGGTCAGTCTAGACCCAATAGAAGCTTGGCGTAACAAGTTGGATTTATCAAAATGTGTCCACATCGCCTTTATAAACAAGCAAATGTTTCCAAAGAAAGCTGCCCAGTTCAATCATTTGAAGTACATTCATGAACTCCAACTTGAAATGGAATGGGCACGAAAGGTACTGCATGGCAGGGGCAGTACCAGTGGCCGGCAACTTCCTAAAATTTGCGCCTTTTCCCTTTTGCCCCCCTAAGAGCAAGTATACTCAAAGCACAACATATAAGTTTCCTCCTTCCCTGCAGCTTGAAATAAACCACAAATCGTTGGTGCCCCCCTTCTCCTTTTAACAAATCGTAGTGCCGCCCCTGCCGCAGTATTCATATGTTTATGCTGAAGTTTTAGTAATTCACCATGCACATTTAAAATGTGATTTCACTAACTTTTGAAGTTTGCTTGATTACAACCATACCTCACTAAGCTAAAGAGGTGCAGAACAAAGCAGTCGATTCTGTTCCGAGAATTTGTAATAGCAAACTAAGCATCACCAAAAATGAACTGTCGTGAAAATTTTTAAAATGTGGATAAAGTTCTACTAGGTCAAAATACTTTCACAATAAGCTTTATTTCAAACATAACGCAACAAGGAATTGATTATATTGAAGAGTTGCAAGCATTCATGTTTTTTCTTTTCTAGATTCTTAGATTTTCATCAAACCCAAACTACCTCTTCAGTATTTATCATGAGAGAATGTAAAGCATGTAAGGAATGTGGCAGAAAATAAAATAGCTGCAAAATATTTTCTGCACACGCTCAAAGATGCAGGATTGTGCAGATAAGTAGAATATAGATAGGGGCTCAGGGTACTAGAAATTAAGCTCATAACTACAACATTTAGTGAGAGAGTGGTTCGGGGAAAGAGCAAGAGAAATAGGACACTACTTTCTGCTTTCCGTAATGGGGGCACGGCTCAGTGCCCTTTGGGATGGGGAAGGAGGGTAAAGATAATAGGAAGAACAGAAGATAAAAAGCAGTGAGAGGCATGGCAAGACAGTGCAGACGAGAGCATGAAGGCAAAGCGTTTGGCTATAGGGCAGCAGGGTCTGCAGGAAATGCAAACTTGAGAAAAGCTTGCAGGGCCGGTATCTTTGACTGTGCGGGGAAAAGGAAGCCCTTTGCAGTTCTCACAGGGAGACCGAGTAGGCGATACGAAACTCATCCTCGCACATTTAGCTAATGTTTTCACACCTTGCCTTCTTCCATGGTTAATCCCAACCGACTAGCTCTTATGGCAACTTGTGCAGCTGAAGGCCAACCTTACCCACGGGTAATAAAGCAAAGATATTAGGTGCTGGTTATTGGCACCCGTTTCTGTGCAGTGCACAAAGCCTATGCCCAAGCAAAACGCCCAACCAATCTCTCAACTCTGCTTGTTCTTGACCGATGACAAATCTGGTGGCAATGAACTGCGACACTGAAGTCGTTGGTACTGAAGTCGTTAGAAGACGATTTTAAAAAGTGGTTTAAGATGCCCTAATGACCACTTTTGCAAGTTAGGATGCCAAGTTGTGCTGGTTATGCATATCCAATAGTATGAAATTTCGGAGGTTGTATCCTTTATTATCAAAAGTGCATTATTGGTTGTGCATTATTGCTACTGCCTAGCCACACTTTACAAACCTCAAAACTGAAAGTAACCATTTGTACAGCATGTGTTACGGGTATGTATGTTTATATATATATATATATATATATATATATATATATATATATATAAAACCTGATGCTGGTGAAGGCCAGGCCCGTGGCAGACATCAGATAAATCGCTTCGTACATGTATATACGTAAGTACATGGACACATATGTACATGTACGTACACACACACACACACACACACACACACAGATATATATATCAGTGTGTGTGTGCATTATTGCGTTATGCATTGTTGCCACTGCCTAGCCACAATTCACAAACCTCAAAACTGAAAGTAACCATCTGTGCAGCATGTGTATATATATATATATATATATATATATATATATATATATATATATATATATAAAGCAACAGGAACACCAGCATGCTGTGGCTTCAAAACATCACAAAACCAGCAAGCACTCTTTTTGAAATGAATTTATTTGCATCACACAGAAGAATATTAACTTATAAATGCCTTGCAGCATAAAGCGAAGGACGTTGCTTATAGTACATGATGCGCAGAACAGCCCGACCTGTACATGTCAAGGTTCAACCTTGTAACTTGATGAAATGTAGTAATAGGCAAACCTTAACACAAGTTCATTATTTAATTTCCAGCTAATGCAAATAATGCATCTACTGTTATACCTAAGAAAAAAAACTGAACGAACAACGCGACTAAAAAACACTGTCATAGCTTAAATACTGATTTAGATATTTTTTTTTAAAAGATGGTGCCCTGAACAGCTGAGCACAGATAACAAAATACCAAAAGAAACTGCACTGTGAGAAACCTCAGTACAAAAACCTGCTAAGCACATATGCACAAACATACAGACATGTCTTCAGCAATGAAAGAACCACAATCAGTTCCAAGAACATTCACGCAAAATGACTTGTTCCCTGCTCTGGGTTCCACAACAAAAGTAATGCATAGAATGAGCAGTAGATGGTAACCGTGTGTTGGAGGTAAAATAACAAAAAAACAACGTGGTCTCTCCAGTCACCCAGAAAGGACCAGATTCACACTCCATAAAAACCTCATTGGAGAGCTCTTTCACTCTTCTTGCACTTGCATAGCCCTCCACCGAGTAAACCCAAAGGCCTCTGTGGTGCCCTTATCACCATGACAGCAAACAAGTTCCAGGCACTAGACCAGCTGTTCGTCACGCCAGCCTTGCACCATGACGAGTTCTTGCGCTGTGCAATAGAAAGGAAATCTCACGAGCCACTGCTCCCTCTTGGCCACCCGATCGTGCCTGCACACAACATGCACCTAGAACACACCATCTAATCCATTTCTTGCGTTCCTTTTAGCAGACATTCCTTGCAGGCAGTCATTTCATAAATCTTTTCACTACGTGGAGTGCAGGCACAAGTGAGTAACAGAGCAAGCAGTGAAGGAAGACAGCAGCATCATCAGATCATCAGAAGCTGTGGCTTTGTCCCACGCACGCCTTTAGCTGAGCTTGCCCATTTCAAACTTCCTGAACACTTCAGATGCTGTGAAGACCAGGGAATCCACAATGCCCGCCACGGTGAATGTCCCACCAACAATAGCACAGACCTGCACACAGAAAAAGGCATCATACCCCATATAAGCGATAACGAAGCTGTTATATAAACCCTTCAACCTAATGATTTCAAAATTTAAGTCGCAAGATTCTATAGCCGCAACTCAAGAAACCAGAGAGGCACCACCATGTGAGCAAAGCTACGGTGGAGTTATCCGCCATCTGGCTCATGCAATCTATATATCCACGCATTGCAGGCTTGTATTCATTCACCTTTAACAGAATAGAGTTAGGAAGCAAGCATTTTTAAAAGGAAGTATTAGACTGTACATGTTAAGGCAAAAAGCAGTCTACTGCAAAAATACGGGGGAGGAGCATTGTTGGCAATGGCTGACTGGCCATCGTATTAGTGAAAATTTGAAGTTTTGCAATATCTAGCACAAACACATACTCTGCAAATCTCTACTTAACACTGCGTGTACACAAAGTAGAATCTTAACTAAACGTGTATGCACTTCACACCACAAAGATGGAGCTGTGAAAGGCAACAAGGAGAAAGTGGTGGTGGTGGTAGTGTTTTCATGTTAGAGGCACAGACACTTGGTGTTCTTAAGTTCTTCTAGGGAATAAATTGCCCTTCTGGTGCCAAATCTTGTTCAATAAAAACTTGGCTTCACCAAACTTACTTGTGCCTTCAGGACCGACAAAAGAAATGTAGCTTGCAAGGAAATTGAGGATTTTAATTCTTCAGTGAGCATTATCAGTGAAGACATGATTTTAGCCAAATGCCTACTTTGTCCCTTGCATTTATATCATGCCATTTTGATATATAAGAATGAATTCGATGTTAAGAATGACTGAGAGTTTTTTTGTAGTGCCTATAGATGTCTATTTTTGGTGTTAAGGACTAAATACCTATAAATGCCTATTTTCGAAATTGGGGCCTTTACAAACATTATTTAACTCAACATTGAACTTTTGAGCGCATTTTAAGACACTGTTATTCATGTTACCGGTTACACAGACTGTTAGGAACTTTATGAAGTTCAACATAGATCCCCGTCACATTGGAGGTGTTAATGTCATTATTGTCATTCAGTGCAGCGAATGCCAATCTGTCTATGGTGGTGCTATACAGAAAAAAAAAAGCCATTCGTTCAAGATATCAATGTCGATAATTTAGAAAAAATTACCAGAAAAGTTGAGGAAGGTTAATGTAGAGTGGTAAAAAAGAAAAGTTGTTTTAAAAGACTTGCGGTAAGTCTCCTCGCTATACAAAGACCCATGTAAATTTTATATCGTAGAATACACGCCCACTAGATGACCCGCTTGCCTGGAAGCCACAGCCAATATAATTTACACAAATAACACTGCTAACATGCCAGAGCTGCTGAACTACGACGCCAAGCTACGACAAGTATTACATTTAGTTGTGTTGTTATGAGCATGCAAAAAATGTGCATAATCTAGAAAAAGATTTGCCAGAAGAAGAGCGCCGAGTGTCGCGTGTGTTACTTGGGTGGCTGAGTGAGCGTTTGTGTGAGTGTTTACGGGAGTCAAAGTTGTGCTAATTATCTTACAATATGACAAATGACCAAACAACCCAACAAGTTTTATAAAAGAGGCTTGATCGTGAAATTAACAAAAAAAAATTGCCCAGAGATACACACTCACAGATATAAAAAGTAGTCTGCTTGTTTACATTACGGCTGCCAGTGCTGGCAGCCAGACGCCACTGAGGTGGAGAGTAAAAACATTTTTGCGACAGCCTTTCGTACACCTGACCTCGTAAAATTGAAAAATGCCTTAAAAAACAAACATTAATAGCATGTTTCAATCAATGCCGGTCCAATTCAGAATGCCATTGAAGTAGTCCCTGGGGTAGAAAGTATGCCTTCGGTTCGACTGCGACGGCGAATGCGTTTCTCAAACTTATTTGATTGCTAATGTCATTCGATTGAAATGAAATTATATATACCTTCGTAGCAGCCGCATAATGTCATTCGATGCGAATGTCATTCCGTTCGAATGACATTAAAGAGTCGAGTGTGGCAGAGGTATTACTCGTTTAGTTTAACAAACTTATCGTAAACAACCTCTAGTCGCAGTGAAGTGGGACGCACTGGCCACCATAGGCTGCCGCGCTGACATGGCTCGAGCGGTAGACGAATGAGAAACCGTAGAGTCGTCGAGGAATGGAGAGTTCAGAAAAAGAAAAAAAGACTATTGGCAGCTTCGCACTAGCAGTGTCAAGCTTGAAGGAGGAGCAGAGCTGGGTGACCTTCCTTGTTTCTCTCTATTTTCATCTCTTTCACATTCTCTCCATTTCTTCTATCTTTTTGTATCTGTTTTTTTCCCTATTTCCCCTTTCTAACTCTTCCATATTTTGTTTGTTTGTTTCTCTCAATTTATTGTTTCCTCTTTCTCTCTTTATCTGTTTTTCTGTCTATCTTTCCAACTTTTCACATATTTATTACCTTCATTTTTATATTTTTCTCTTCCTCTTTCTATCACTTCATTTTTCTCTCTCTTTTTGACGTGCTGGTTTCCATTTGAAACTCACACCTGCCAAACACTGTGGTTCTTCCACGATTCTCGTGACGCATACTTGCGTTAGGAGTTTTGCATGACGCAGCACAAGTTGTGGATGGCTTAAGCAACTTCACTGTAAAGAGAATGAAGAGAGCGCATGCCAGTTCATGATGAAGATAGTTCTTTTATGATGGAGCACAAGTTACAAACAGCTTTGAGCAGCTTCGCAGTTAAAATGTGATGAGCACGTGGCTTTTGTTTCGTTTGTAATTTACTTTAGAAGCTGTTCCCCGACAGCGGAGAAATTGACGCTACGCGATTAGACCAAGCCAATACGAGGCATCCCTCCCCCCCCTGGTCTTTTAGCAGTGTGACTATTTACTCCTGCACTGCCCATGCTGGGAAAAAAGAACAGAAAGAAAGAGACCCAAGACTGTGTCGATTCTACAGAGGACACTTGACTCGCCCTGGCATATGGCATAGAATAAAAGTAGAGACTGTGTACTGTGGACCATGCGGCAAAAACGACAGCTGCACAGCTATGTTCAGCCATTGGGGCCTTTGTGCCATTACAAACAACTGTCATAGATACAGGTTCTACAAGTCTTGGTTATGAAGTATTTGCACTCGCGTAAGAATATATTGGGCATATGTTACAACATTGGTGACCAGACATGTTTTCCCTGTCTATTTTTGGCGCCTCAGACATTTTTTTAATGCCTAAAAATATGGCCTCTAATTACCAGGTTTACAAAATCTTTACTTCATGTGCATCAGCTATTAGAAACTATTTGAGACCTAGCATACTTGAAAAGCACCTATCCAGCCACTTGAACAATACACTTGATGTACAGTACCAACCACTGTTAAAGGTAACACTCAAATGAGCGCCTTTCGTATTGCTGAATGCCTAACTGTGAGTGAACTTGGTAATATAGTTTATATAAGGCACCAGGTTGTCTGAAAGAGTTGTGACTGTCAATCATCAGTAGTATTATACAAATCCAAGCCGCTATGCTTTTGCAAGAGAGCGAATTCCGGACATGCCCTGCACGCAAGTGTTCTCTGTAACAGTGGTCGCACCTGTACAAGATTAAAAAAAACAGCAAAATAGCGAGTCCACAGCTTCACAACACTTAACAGCTTGCCGTTATTGGATTAAAAGGGCATCATGCAGACATGGCATAGAAATTACCAAACTCAGTGGCTGATCTTAACGTGGCACGTCACAATTTCAATGACCTCAAATATTCTTCACTTCGGTCACTGTTCGGGTCCACAAAACACAGAAAATATAGAGAGTCATACTTTAGTGACAAGTTATCTAATACGCTCCAGCCAATAGACACAAACATTACAAAGATCTCCTGGATCTATCCAATATAGCTGGTACACACTGACCACCCGTGAGAGGCCTTTCATCGAAGTATTTGTGACCATGAAATTCTCACGTTCAGCAGCTGCTCACTTGTTATATTCATGACCACCCCGCTTCTCCCCCTTGTCTACATAGTGTGCACTTTTCAAAACTTTTAAGGTTCAAAATTTTCACAATTTTAAGCATAAGAGTGCTTTATCCGAGTTATACCACGGCTTCAGTAACATAATTCCACCATGGAAATGAAATAAAAAAAATGTATATAATCAGATGTCAAGCTCAGTCAACAGGCATTGAACAGATGACCTCTCAGTCCACGAAAGCAGATGCCGTGTACGCAATTCACTGTGCCACAGCCACACACTAAAAAATTGTTGAAAGTGGACACCATGAGATACATTTTAGCCAGTTTTCTGCAAACCATTTATGTGGATCAGCCATGACTAAGAATCTACTGTATTGGGTATTTTAGTAAACAAATCTATAGGTAAACATTATTGTTAATCCTTGCCTAACATGAAACATGAATGAGGCCTTCTTGCAAGAAAAATTTTGAAGCGCTGGCATGACACCACAGTAGAAAGATCATTTGCCAAGCAGAAGGCCTGGGTTTAAATCCAACTTGATCCAGATATTTTTTCTTCATCATCATCATCAGCCTGACTAAACAAATAGGTAAACCAATCTTAGTTTCCTAAAAAGATATCTTGAATATTGTCACGCTTAAGACAACCTTGCATAGCACAATTCGTAAATCTATAGGTTAAGAAGCGGCTCAGTCCCAACTTTGTTGTCCTCTTTCACACATTGTTCTCCCACGTGAATGCGGCATTAGTCCCTCCTCTGAAAAACATTGACTTGATGCTTGTAAAAAAAAAATACAACTATAGCATAGCTGACGCAAAGAATCACAGCGCGAGTACCAAGGAGTCCACACCCACACTGTCACCAGGGTGGTATGCAACGTTTCGACGGCAAAGGTTGTAATGTCGTGCAGTTGTTTCTTGTTGGTGACTGATGTTTAGGCAGCTGACGCGCTTCTTTGGCGTTCCGAGTGTACTGCTCTGCTTCCGGAGCAAGCTCATCGCCATTATCGCACCGCAGCATAGCATCAAGCATGGTTTGTATGTTTTGTCTGTAAACAGGGCGGAAGGGTAAAAATCGCATTGTTTACTGCATTGCGGTATTGTACACAATGCAGGAATTTATGCTATAAATAATGTTCCTCTCTCTGTAATCACACATGACGGTGCGCCATGCCAAGGATGAGCTGACGAGGGCAGTCTCGTAGTATAAGGCAGGTGACCACAAATGTTGAATGGCGTATTTGATGCGATCGTCGTGACATCCGTGTGAATATGCGTTCCATTCTAACGTGTCACCACTTTTGTAAAACAAGTTGCCAATTTCCCGCTAATAATAGAAACACCAATGCGCCGACGTGAAGGCCGTCTATCAGCACAGGAATGTCGAGCAAGACGGTCACTACGTTCAGACGTATAATTTGGTGTTTTTCTGGCACTGCACTCAAATGGCGATTTAATGTCTGCGGCATCTCATGTGATCACCGATGAGAAGTCTTCCGCACTTTGAGAATCAGCGACCTCGCCACCAAAGATCGCTGCCTTCAGTTATCCCGGTGAGGGCCTGGAGAGCTTCCCCATCCTGTCACACCGAAACGTGGCCCAATAGTGGTGAGTCGCCGTGGAGATGGTGACCGCGATTGACACCCTGAGAAAAATAGACGTTGCTGCTGCAATGCTGCGCGAGGTAATTTTCCATTTCACTTGGCCTCTGACCAACTTGGGGACGAGGTGAATCAATGGAGAAACCACGCAGTCCAAGTTGTCAGTACAGGCATTTGCGGTAGATTAACCGGCTTCACCGCAATGGTAGCAGAGAAGTCTTCTTTCTGACGTACACCAAACATCTGACTTTCGCGAAGGTGCATGGCTATCCTCGATGTCAAAACCAGTGTGTGCTGATTAAATCGCAACTGGCGGCATCGTCTGGATCGGGACTGCAGGGCTAGAGACAGTCATTGAAGTGCACAAAGCTTCGACATACGTACAGCTCCCAGTATCGGTAGACAAAGGGGCCGGTTCTATATTAGTAGGTATTGGCTGATAGCGACGGTTGTGCAGCACTTGCTAGACCTCGTCCTGGATAACGCTGGTGATAGAGCCGACCTCCAGCTGTCTCGCCCCATACAGCTTTGCCATTTCCTCGTGAACAATGGAGCGAACGCGGGTACATTCAACGCTGCTGCTCCTGAACGTGGCAGAAAATTCGAGAGATGATGCAGCATTCACTTGCCGGTCGAACAGGGCAGACCACTGACAAAGTACCTTCTTCATCGTGGCGGCTTCAGTCAAACTCAGCTACAGTGTTCGGGAGACTCCGCACCAGGGAAGCAAAAAGCTGCTCCTTCACACCTCGCATCAGATAGCGCAGCTTTTTTTCTTCTGGCATTGCCGGATCCACTCACCTGAAAAGCCATGTCATGTGCTCCACGTACATGGTGACGGCCTCATTAGGCATCTGGATGCGTAAGTGCCGTGCTCTTTCAGCACGTTTGCGGTGGTCGGTGCTATTATAGGTCTCCAAGAGGTGATGCTGAAACTCTTGCCAGGATGTCAAGACGTCACTTCTGTTCAGGAATCATGTTCAGACGCCGTCCTTGAAGCAGGCGTAGATGTTGCGGAGTTTGGCTGCGTCATCCCAGTAGTCGATCGCTGCGACATGTTCGAACTCACTCAGCCAGTTGTCCACAGCTTCAAACAGCTCTCCGGGAAGGGGACTAGGCATCAGAGGGTTCTTAGCTGTGCAAGAGATCAGCGTAGACGACGTAAGAGTTTCTATGACGACTTGAGGGGAAGTCGCAGTTACTCTATCGGTAATCTGTTCTGGTGTCTCTGGTGGTAGGCCTCATAGGCGGCAGCTTGTTCGGTGAACTGGCGTGTTCACGGGCACAGGGAGACTCGCAAGTCGTCATTGTCGTACCCAGCACTTCCACCAATCTTATCACGCTTAAGGCAACCTTGCGTAGCACTACCCGTAGAGCTATAGGCCAAGGAGCGGCTCAGTCCCAACTTCGTTGTCCTCTTTCACATGTTCTCCCACGTAAAATCATGTGGCAATATAGAAAAAAAGCCTACGAGGCCGTGAAAAAAATATGAATGCATGAACACTGATAAGAGTGCTGCTACTATTTTATAAGGTGTGCGAAAATGCATTAACTTTACCTTAACTGTCCCTGAAAAGTCTTTCCATGATGTTGTGGTATGCCCATAAAAAATTGCGGGTGCTCTGATAACAATGCATCCGCTTACTCAAAAACAGTGCATTCCTGGCAAGTAATAGAATTTCAAAGATTACTATCGTTCACTGTAGAAGATTGGCCGTAAATAGCTGCTTACAATAAAGTTTTTTTTTTTAATGCATAAGATTTTATTTTGTAAGCACAAGATTTTAATCAAAGCCAGCATTTATCACCGAATGAGCAGTAGTAGCCACTAAGTACAACAGGAAAGCTTGTTTTCTAATAGTAAGTCAAATTAACAATGTAATTCTCAAATGGAATCCCTGATAGCAGAATCCTAACATATTTACTACCATTTGCATTGAGTGCAGTTTCTAAACTAATTTATCTCTGAGAACGTGTCCTGATTTGGGAATAAACCCTTTGAGATATTCTATATTTCAGGTATCTCGAAACATACTTTAATCAATCTGATATATTCAGCATATCGGGACACCAAAGTGACTGAAATGATGCTCCTCTAACTAGCCTTGAAGAAAAGTCTGCCTATCGAAACGGCTCCAACAACAGCCCATCTTCACAAATTTTTATTTTCTTCAAGCTTCTATCTTCCCTTAAAGTTATGCTTCTTTTTAATTTAAAAAAATTTTATCTAGTATAACTTACATATACAATCAAATTTTAATCAATCAATCAGTTTGTTATCATGTCATAAAAGGATGTTACAGGGAGTAAAATATACAGAAGAGGGTTTCAAAGTACAAGACTGCAACGGGACCCTCGATAAAACAAAACAAATACCTACAATAAAAAAACAAAATAAATTCATTTACTACACTAAGCTTTTACCAGTTGTGCCCTACCTCTTGAGCGTGCTCAAACAAGGAGGAATCGTGCGGTGGCATTATTCCACCCTGTCTTCACACACCTGCCTTGTCACTGCTCCCGACAGGAATCGTGAATCACTCACCGAAGTAAGAAAGCTGTACAGAGGTATGCTACGACGGGTGTACTTGACCGTGATGGGAGTGAGATCGTAGCGGAACCAGATGGCAGGCATGATGCGTCCCGAGTGAGAGATGGACACGTAGCTCTGCAGAGAGGCCAGATGAGCAAGTGAGCATCGTCTATGACACACAACAGGAGCAGAAGTCGAAGTAAGTACCTTGTAGGCATACGTGTACTGGTAGGACTCTATCCGCTCGCCCTTGGACTTTTCGTACACAGTAGGAACAATCTTCATGACGTAGTCGTGCGATTCAATTGCTGCGGTGGGAGCAGAAACAAGCATAGAGCTAAAGACAAGAATACTGCCATCTCTCAGTTTTGTCATGATCACACCGAGTGTTGGATTTAAGTGACCCCGGCCTTATTAGAAGCAACTCACCATTGGCTCCAGACTTGTCCATTTCGTCCAAGGAGTTGAAGCTGCCACGCACTTCATCAGTCTATTGAACGGAACAAGAAAAGGAGGTAAGGAACATGCACCGAGTGTATCTAGAATTCTGGTAGGGGGAATTGCCGAACTGCGACAGAATAACATTCATATATGCAGGTTTTTAAGGTGTTCGGTATTTCACCGAGATGCACTACAAACATTACCAGCATCCTCAATGCAGGACTACTCACCATTTTTACACCAAATGTGAGGTCATGGATGATGTGAGTCATGTCAATCTTATCTGGCTGCTTTGCAGCTGCATGCGTAGACACATGGAAGTTTCCTGGCACCTGAAAATTTTAACATGGGTATTTTAGCATGGCAACTGAAAAATGTATGTAAAGATTACAAACAAGTGACAACATCAAAAATAGACATTAGCAGTACTATACATTTTTAGATTTTCTTATTTATGCATAGCTGAAAAAACAGTAAGAGGAGAAAACAGTAAACCAAGCACCCCACTTTTAATGCACTTTCAAATTTCCTCTAGCCTCATAACATTTCACATTGTAAATGTAAGGTGCAATGATCCAGAACAACATAAAAAAAACATTCAGCACACCTTGTGTATGAAGAACTTTCCTTCAAAGCGACATCCAGAACCTACAGGTGTCTTCTCTGTGTTTTCCACAAAACCAACTTCATGCCGGCCCATATCATCCTGAATGTCGAGGCCCACCACTGGAAATCAAGATGAAGCAATACACCTTGTCAATAACAATCAAATGTCTTCGGAATATCGCCTACTTTGTACACCAACTTGCGAGGCTAACTTATGATTCCGTCGTGCAAGACTCGTCACGATTAACGGTTGTCGCACGTACCACTGCAGTCGAGCTTGAGGAGAGTGATGTTGATCGAAACTGGGATCTTGTCCGCGCTACTTGGGTTGTCAACATAGAGCTCACTGACCCTGAAAAAGCAAAGCTGCGTGTTCTTACGACGGATTATGATCGCAGCGCTATCAGATAGCTTACAGTTCCGGTGACATATAGGAGATGAACTCGGACAGGAAGAGGATGGAGATGAAGAAGCAACTCAAGATGGATATCACAGCGCCGGTTACCGTGGGCTGTGTGAGGTCTTTTGGAATCTTGCGGTAGATATCAAACCTGCACCCAAAACGTATGTTGTCGTGATCGAGTTAAATGAGGCACACCCGGCGAGATCATCGCTCTACTTATCGAGTTCTCCGAATCGAAACACGAACTCCGCGATAAGCGTGAAAATATAGGGAAAATTTATCCGGCTCTTCAAGCCTGTCTATGCACATGTCGCAGCACATCAACGTGTTGGCATGCAGCCCAGTCATGCTAAGCGTACACGTATGCAGCCCGACGGATGCGCTCGCGGAGGGGTGCCGTTGCCGCCACGTCCCACTCGCCGGCAGGCGAGTCTCCGCAACCGGCCACGCTAGCCCCCCCACCAAGCAGTTTTATTCGGCGCTAAATGGAACGTAGTGGAAGTGTGATCGGCGACGCCAAGATGAAGAAGTGCCACATATCTCTCGATCAGCAATCGCGACGTCCCGCGTGTAGCGATTATGGAAAGCCCCGTTTCACTCAATACGGCGGAGGATGAAATAAGCACGAGAGGAGTTGTTGTCAAGTGTTTGCATACATACCTTCTGACATCGAATACCATGTTTATAAAGTTGTACAAATCAAGCGTGGCTCAATTAATAAATACGCTGCCACACTCGACGCGCACAGCTGGCCACTGGCACTACTGTCAGCGGTGCCACACCGATGCAAGGAGGTGCGGAGCAGCCACAGCTCCCGCCGGTGCTGCCACGAACGGACTCTCTCCCACGTGCAGGAGGTTGATTGGTTGGCCCAACCGCGGCATGCGCGGTTCTGCACCCGGTGCCGCCTATTCTGGGCCGTCGATATCATCAAACATGCCTCGGTATGGTTGTTAAAAATTGAATGAATATGGTCTCGAGCAGCATCCGGCAATATTTTTGTTCGAGGAAACGGTTTAGGAAACGAATCCTTGAAGCTCGCCGCTTCTATCACACGGGTCATATTTGAACTGTGCCCGTGGTTCTTGCATTTCTGCATCCGCGTGTAGCACATCGCACGTCATTTGCCGGAACCTAAATGAAATCAAGTTGTGTCGTTATCTGCAGCACATACACGGAGTTGCGCGCACTTCTTCAAACATTCATCATCAAGAATGGCAGAATCGGCTTTACTCTATTCGGCCTCTGTATAGTATAATTCACGTGTGTGCAAAATGCACAGAAGGACGGCAGATCGAGTGGGGTGGCGCCAGCAACAGTACTACTTGGCACATGGACTAAGAAATCTTTGTTGGACAACGCACGACCCCGTGTGTCATGTCTTTTTTTTTTTCCCCTTTGTCGACGCCAATTCACGCTGTTACAGCCATGAAATGCACCGAGTTGTCCGGTAATAGAAAAACACTGTACCAAACTTTAGTACAACACTTACTGTATGGCATTAAAAAAAATAGTGATCGACGTGGTCCGAAACGCAGGCTATTCTGCTGAGCATATGCCACAAGATATAAGAGATGGCATGCTCTTCGACTACCACTATAATTGGAGGCAACCGTAAAAGCAGCCCGCTGATGTGTGACATAGAAAGCGCGTGAAAGACAGAAAAAAAAAAGAATACTAAATAAGCGCAAACTACAAAGGGATTTTATCAAAAAAACAACAAGGCTCGCACATGCTAAGACACTTAAAAATACTGAAGTACACAACACGACAAATTATAATCAGGTGAAAGTCATAACAGATCGCTTGCTGCGTCATTGTATGTACTACACCCTACACCAACTTCACATATTCCGCTACACGATAACTGGATGGATTTGAATCATGGTCAACGCCTGACTACGTCACGCGTTGACCATGACATGGTTAAGCGACTAGATAACGTGAGAGAAGCGTACCACAGATGATCATGCTCGGAATCGGAATATACCGTAGAAGACTTGTAATCCTACGCTTATTCAAGGAAGTCATTATGCACTGAACCGATAGCGTTATACTGTTATACTACAATTAAACATTTCATAAAAAAAACACGAAAAACGAAGAAAGCAGCAGCAAGTATACAGTGCACGAGAATATAATCATCTACTCAATGCACCGGTTTCAGTGATTAGATGAATTTACACCCTCGATGAACCCGCGATTGCTGCCTCGGAAATGTCTTAGCTGCGCTCGTAAACCACGGAGAACTTTAACCTTCTACAAATGATCCATCAAGCGTGGAAAGGACAGGCATGTGCCGTTAAAACAGTTGTTAGGTTCGTGCGTGCCGCTTCGCGCAACCAGTCTGCTCTGTCGATGTGGAAGTGTATTGTGTAACTCAAGATAGCTTCTGCTTGATTAATTATATCATCACGAAATCGAAATGCGTAAACAAGCACACAAAGATGGGCGATTCCACGAGGGATCCACACGGGTCGAAAAGATTATATTTTAGATTTGTTTGTCTATTTTATATTTTGTGCACATACCACCTAGTAGCCTGAAAGTGAACTTTGTTTTTTTTTTATTAACTGCATACTTTAGGAGAAAAAAAAAACATTGAACTTATTTTGTACAGAGAGACCAATTTTGTCTTTTGTCATTTTTGAAAGTTAACGATGATATAAAAACACAAATAATAGCTTGATGAATACAATTTTTTCTAGTAAATGTACGGGTAATGAAGAGTGAAGCAGCATTGTTTGAAGCTTGTATGCTGAAGCAAAGTGTTTCTGAAGAATGTCTGAACAGGTGACATTCTTTTTAAAGTTGCTTGATTTGAGATTTCTTTTCCTCCTAAGCTAAACTAGATAATAATGTTTACAATATTGCCTGTCAATACCGTTGCTGTACCTCAAACACATAATTTTATAAACGGCCTCAAACTTTCAAATTCGTCGACAGTAAGGCCTATTGAAAAATCAATATTAAAAAAAAGCCATCTTCGGATTTTCTTAAAATCTCGTAAAACGTTTGTAAGTTCGCGCTCGGCGTAACATCTCGCGCCCCCATCCTTCTTGGTAACACGCCTTCCCGCCCCGCCGCGGTGGTCTAGTGGCTGAGGTACTCGGCTGCTGACCCACAGGTCGCGGGTTCGAATCCTAGCTGTGGCGGCTGCATTTCCGATGGAGGCGGAAATGTTGTAGGCCTGTGTGCTTAGATTTGGGTGCACGTTAAAGAACCCCAGGCGGTCAAAATTTTCGGAGCCCTCCACTTCGGTGTCTCTCATAATCATATGGTGGTTTTGAGACGTTAAACCCCACAAATCAATCAAATCAATCAACACGCCTTCCCGAGAAACGGGACCGGCTGAGCGTGGCACCCCCTTCCTCGCTTGCGTGACGCATTCACAAGAAACGGCGCCTCAGCCTCCTCTGCCTCCCGTACTCCTTCCAGGAAACTGCCTGTCCGGTGTCGACAAGGACGGAGGGACAAAAGGAGCGCCCGGGAAAAGGCGAGGGGTCTTTTGCTACTAGTAGAGCTTGCCGGCTAGGCACCGGCACGACCGCACTGCGGGTCACACTTTTGCTGCCATCTTCGCATTGTAAATAGTTGTGTACATAAAGTTGTGTTAGTAAAACGTCCAGTAGTGAAGGCGTCTTCCTCCGGGGAAACGTCACGAAGATGGCGGCGATCATCCTCGCGAAGCAACGAACCCGGCCTATAGCTTCGCCACCAAGAACCTGGTCCGAACCATATACCGACTTCGGAAGAAAATTTACTACCTTCGTCACAGATGATAGGAAAAGAATATTAAAAAAAAACATGATGCATTATTTCATTTGCAGCGACAATATTACGGGTAGAAGTTCCAGCTTTTCGAGCATGCACTTGGGCGACAAACGCACGAGAAATCGGGCTTTCCGTCATAACATCAGCTTTAATGAGGCTCAGGCAGTTGAGGCACTGGCAAGCCGCAGAGACGTAGTAATTAAGCCGGCAGATAAAGGTGGTGCAGTTGTGGTAATGGATGCTAGCAGCTACATTGATGAAGCCCAGAGGCAACTTGACGATACGACACACTACAGACGCCTTAGCAAAGACCCCACAGAACAATTAAGATGCACTGTAAGTGATGTGGCCGACCTTGTGAAAGATAAAAAAAAATCGCTCAATCTGCGTTGCGTACGCTTATTCCCCTGAGCCCGGTGGCGGTATACGCTTTACAACCTGCCTAAAATTCATAAAGAAAACAATCCCGGTAGACCATGCTGTATCTGGAATAGGGCACGGTTACTGAAAACATCTCGCGCTAAGTTGATAGCATTATTTCTTCTATTACTGCCACATTTACTTCATATATCAAAAACACGAACGATTTTTTAAACGATACCAAGGATTCAGATATTGCTGTTGGCTATTTTTTTGGTGATTCTAAATGTTTGCTCTTTGTACACTAATATTCCGCACTCTGATGGTATCATGGCTGTTGTGCATGCGTACAACGAGTCTGATCTCGACAAAGCAATTGATTAATCCACACTAGCCACGCTTCTCGAGTCATTTCTCGAATTAAACAATGTCGAGTTCAATGGTCAACACTACGTCCAGGTTAGCGGCACTTCAATGGGCACTAGGATTGGCCCCAATTACGCAAATATCTTTATGGGCCTCCTAGAAAACGAGTTCCTTTCACGCCGTGACTTGAAGCCTTCTTACTACAAACGTTTTATTGATATTTTTTTTAATATGGCACCATGGCGAATCAGATCTTTCTTTTATCGAGGATTTCAATAATGCTCATCGAAATATGTCGTTCTCGCATTCATACTCAGCTATTAGTGTCAATATTTTTGACGTCACGGTAACATTCCACCGTAAAAAACTGACGACGAAGCTGTGCAGAAAACCAACCGACAAACATCAATACCTTCATTTTCAAAGTAGCCACACAAAACACTGCAAAACCAGCATTCCATACAGTCAGGCCATTCGTTTTAAACGTATATCTGCTCCGACAACAATGAGTTCGCTCACAACCGTGTGAGTATACCTTCGAGGTGCACTAACCAGACAAAGGTACCCCTCACGAACCATTGACGACGCCATCAAGAAGGCGGAAAACATCGACCACAAGGATTTGCTCACGGGTAACAAACCATCAGCAAGCTCTTCACGTAACAGTGTTCATCTCATTTTAACGCACTCAACATCAGCTCCAAATGTGACCAACATTCTCAAGAAACGCCCCAACATCTTGATTAAATGTGACCATCTAAGAGACATCTTTGCGGAACCACCCAAGGTGGTTTATCGCCAATAGCGAAACCTGCGTGATACATTAACTTCGTCCAAAATAAACAACCGACTGAACTATGTTGGCGGTCACCCTTGCAATAAACCCCGTTGTATGCCCACACATGACGACTTCGTACTCCTTAACTATAGCAGCGCTTCAAGCTTTTCCGTGAGCATCAACGGAGACTTCACTTGTGACAGCGTCAAAGTTGTGTACATGCTTGAGTGCTCCACATGCCACCAGCAATACACCGGTCACACCGAAACGTCATTCAGATTACGCTTTAACAACCATAGACCCTACGCTTCTAACTTACATCTTCCGCTATCAAAACATGTCCAGATGCCAGGTCACTCCTTTGAAAACATCATTCAAGGCTACCATACTACAGTCTGGATTTCAAACACAACGACCGAGAAGTTCGTGAATCCTACCTCATCAATAAATTCCACAGTCTTCACGCTGGCATAAATGAAAGCATCGCGGACGTGTCACCTTTTTTTTTTTCTGGGTAACAAAGTATCATATTTAT